AAATTTTTTTTTGTTTTGAGAATTACAGAGACGTGTTAAAACACGGCCAAAGTACACATAAATTAAATTAACTACCGACTTCCGTTTGATTCTTTTTCGGTATTTCCCTGTCGGGAAACGTTTCTTGATCAAGATTACACTCGGAAAGTTCCGGTACAAAGTAGAATGTTCATGGATTGCTGCGAGAATGATTTTTGAAAAATAGCCACCAGGAAAAATTACTTTCTGATGCTTTCTGATGCCTAGCGCCAAAGTCGTTTCCGGTCGGATGCAAATTAAAAACAGCCTTCCGAGAGCCACCATTTTTTTCCAGTTATAAAAAAACGAATATGAAAATGCGTTTGGCAAAAGTTATTGAAAAAAAGTTCAATTAAAAGACTGTTGATTATCCGTAGAGCGCAGAAGATCCAAACGCCTGGGGCCATTTTTTTCCTGATTACTTCATTTTTTTAAATTATTTAGTAAGTTACATGAAAGTAATGAAAAAAATACTAGGCAAATGAATTCCTTTTTTGGTAAAAATCAGTTAGTTTTTTTCGCATTTGGATAGGTTCAAAGCGTCGCGGTCGCGTTACGGTTTTGTCATTGACTTTTAAAAATTCGGTGTTTTCCTTGTCATCATTTTTGACTAATTTTTTGGTTTCTTCTCTTTCTGAGGTTTCAAGATATTTAGAGTTGTATATAAAAAATTTTCGTTTCGACACCATCCAAAAAATTCATCAATGCTCCTTCAATGACCCCAGTGAAACCTTTTTATTTAGAAAAAAACCAGCTTTCTTCCTGAACTTTTCCCCATGCAAAATAATAACAACAGCTGTAGGGCATCTTTTATTACCCGAAAACCTGGAAAAAGGGCCATTCTTGTTGCTTGCCGACGAGTTGTTATTCCCAGGCAGTTTCCCACCAGCCAACAAACGACTACAAATTTAATGCGTTTCGTCTTGAAATCCACTTTTTTCCCATTTTCCCCCCGCTCCGTCGTGTTCACATGTGACGAAAACTCCTGCAAAGAGAGTCGTTGGGTTTATTTCATAGTTCAGTTCTTCTTTGCTTGTTGACTGCCGCCAAAAAGAATCGCAAAACAAGGAAATGGACCATTCTCATTTTCGTTTTTTGTTCCAATTCTGTTTACGAAGCATCAAACGAATAGATTTCAGTATTTAAAAATAGTTTATTTTCCTTCAAGTGGCAAAAAAAAAATTTAGGCTTACTGTAGCCGAATTAGGAATTATGTGTGTACACCTTTGCGGAAAACACGTTATTTTACGACAGTTTGTCATTTTTTCCTATTTTCGTAGTTTTTCGATTGTTTTTGCGTTAAGAAAAGTTTTGTCTGTTTGAAATTTTTTGCCGAGGTTATTGGAAGCGTAAAAGGCTTGTATGGTTGCAGAAAATCGTTATTTGTGTCGAAGTTTTTCTGATTTTTCTTTAAAAACTTTTGCAAGAGTTTTGCAAGATTACCACTTTTTTTTAAACTTCTCTAATTGATTGGTTACAGTTTAAATGTTGAAAAATGTAAAATTGAAATTTAATAGCCTTTTTTTCTATTCTTCACCTCATCAACTTCATGTTTCTATCGCCAAAAACGACGAAAATGTTCTTCGATCCGTTCTTTTTCTTGCATTTGATTTGTTTACGAACCCGGAAGCATTTCGATTCAGCTTTTGGAGTCTTCTTCTCTTTCCCAGCTTCACGTCGAAGCTTTTCTTTTGTTTTTGTTCGAATTTCGAATAAAAATGAGCATTTTGTCGGGAGAATTATTACTTCATTTTTCAGTTTTGACCGTCGCGAGGGTCATTTCTCTCCACGATGGGACGTCGCTGTTTCGCCCTCATCACGCTTTGAACATTCCTTTGTCCCTCTTTTGCTCTTCTGCCTTTATTACAGGTATTTTTTGATCATTTTTACGAAATACTGCAGATAACTCACCTAATTTAAGGAAGTATCTCGAAAATTCTTTTCGGACTAAAAATTGAAAAATGAAGCTTTTCTCAGCCTATTTGCATAGTGCTTGTTAAGTTTTAAGATAATTGGACCATCAATTTTTATTTTAAGATTAATTGTTATAGGTTTTCTTTTTTTTCCAAAGAAAGTTATTGTAGTTTAAATTTTTTTTTAGAAAGTTGGGCGATTTTTTATATGATTTAGAATAGGTTTTCTGTACAATTTTTCATTTCTTCGAAGAGTTTTAAGTCATTTTTTGTTTCAAAACGGAAGTTTTGATAACTTTTACATGCCTTTAAGTGACAAAAATGATTCTAATTCGAAATTTTCCTCATAAATTGAGAAATATCGTTTTTCGTATGACTTTCTGTGCAGTTTTCACTATTTCAAAGTTTTTTTTTTCCAGCTTTTCTGGAGTTTTTTTTGTGTAAAAACGGGACAATTACATTCTTTTTTGTCACAAAATTACTCTGATCATAATTCAAGTCTTCCCAAAAATTGGGAAAAATAATTTTCCGTATGAAGTTGAACAGCGCTTTTTTTATAATTTTCATCATTTTAAAGCTTTTTTTACTGGTTTTTCCTGGCCATTTTTTTGCTCCTGTGTGAGATGATCAAACCCTTAAGGGATCACTTTATTTATCTTCCCAGCATTATTCAGTTTTTTTGTTTTAAAACAGAAGATTTGATAACTTTTACGTGTCTTTTTGTCGAAAAAAATCAGTTTTAAAATTATTTCAATCCAAAGTTTTTCCTCATAAGTTGAGGAACATCATTTTTTTGTATATTCATTTTTGATTCCTATACAATTTTTTTCCATCGTTTCGAAGCGTTTTTTTAGTGGCTTTTTAAAAATATATTTCATTCCCAGATTCTAGGTTTTTCAACAAATCCTGTGAAAAAAATTCTTTTTCGTATGATCGATTAGCAATTTCTGTAAAAAAATTCCATATTTTTTTGAAGCCTTTTTTTCTTGGTTTTTTTCTAGACATTTATTGCTCCTGTATGAACGGATCAAACCCTTAAGTGATCACTTCCCTTCGTCTCCCAGCATTATTCAGTTTTCCGCTTATTTAGAGTCATTTTTCCTTTTGAAATGGAAGATTTGAACAATTTTACGTGTCTTTTTGTCATAAAACTAGTTTTGGAATGATTCAAATTCAAAAATTTCACCCAAAAGTTGTGAAAAATCGTTTTTAGTATGAAACGAAGTCGATAGTTTAGCAATTTCTGTAGAATTTTCATCATTTCAAGCGTTTTTCTTGGTCTTTCCTGGCCATTTTTCACCCCTGTCGTTGAAAAGACCGAACCCTCAAGTGATCCCTTCCCATCTTCTTCTCCCAGCATTATTCAGTTTTTCGCAATATGTTCAGTAGATACGTTGTGCCATTTATCACGACGATTCGGTCTCTATTTCTGGCCCCAGCTTCTTTTTTCCCCTTCCTCGCCTTTCGTCGCCTCCCAAAACGCCTTTTTATGGCAATTTTACAGTCATTCCAGCCGTTTTCGGTTGTTTATGACCCGTGCGAATCTCTCTCCTTGTCCATATTTCCTGGAAGAATTTTGGGTTTCTTCTCAAATTCCTTTTACCGTACTTTTACGTTTCAGGCGGCCTTTATTATAAGTTCTTGCTTTTTTGAATTTTAATCATTCAATTAGGGTGAGAAACTTTCAAAAATATTATTTCGAAAAAAATCCCCAAGAGGAGAGAGTTTCACTCTGAAATAATAAAAATGGCTGAAATCCTGCCTAAAAAAATTTTTTTAGCCTTATATTTTTTTGATAATCTTGTGCCCGATTTTGAAACTCGAAAAAAAGCTCCTTTTCAAGTTTTAAAATAGTAAAAGTGCTTTTTTTCAAAGTCCATACTGTAATAATAAGCTTAAAAAAATGATCGAAATGAAAAAAATCATTCAGAAAAAGTTCTGTTGTTTTTGTTTTAAGAGGTTTGAAAAAAATATTATATTTTTTTGGGCAAAAAAATCCGCTTTTTCCGGAGTATATACCATAGAAAACGAAAAGAGAGCAAAAATCTTATATTTTTAGACCAAAAAAATGAAGTTTTATGAACCTTGAACATATCATTTTCCACAAAAAAATTTGGATTCCTTCTCAAAACCTTATTACCGTACTTTGACGTTTCTGGCTTCTTTTTATTATAAGTTCTTGTTTTTTTATTTTTCAATGAGAGAGATGCAATATCTAAAAAAATTTTTTTCTAAAAAAACCTTGATCTACCAAAAATGTTTCATATATTTTTATTTTTTTGATAATTATGCTCGAAGTGTTATTCTGAACTTAAATTTCGATTTTTTTATTTTTGAAATAGTTCCGAGAAACCGAAAAAAACTTGGCGATCTTTGACGCTGAAGCTGGATTTTTAGATTTTTTTAAAATTTAAAATTGTGAATTTTTGTTACTTCTTCTAGTTTTTCTTAGTAGGTTCTATAGAAAATGAGAAAACCCTATATTATAGATCAAAAAAATAAACTTTTATGAAGATTGAAAAAAATATTTTGATAAAAACAGTTTTTCCCATTGATCACCTTTTGCACGTAAATACTTTTTCAGAGAAAAACTGAAAAAAAGTGAAAAATTTCGATGCCAGGCAATTAGAAAAAAAGTTCTTTACTTCAAAAATAACTTTTTATGAATTTCAGTTTTAGTTCTATGAAGATAAATGCATGAAAAATCACGTAAGGTTAAAAAAATTTCGGAAATTTTGGCTGAAAAAGTGAATTTCGAAACTTTTCAAGGTGATTTTTATTTTGAAAAACCTTTTTCTTGGGATTCTGACTGCTTTTTGGAACATTCTAGTCTGAAAATTATGAGCTTTGGCCGGTTTTCGAAACACCTGCTCCTTTATTGAGGTAACATGAATAATTCAGGTTAGGGGAAATCTTGGAATATGGCCAAAAATGCGTTTTTGTATGATTTTTGTGTTGAAAAAGCTGTTTTCAAACTTCAATTTGAGCTTTTTTGGATCTTTCTAGACCAAAAATCAACGACTTTCGTAGATTTTCGAAACACCTGCCCCGTAATTAATCTAAAATGTATCATGGCTCAAGCTCAGTAGCTAATGTGTACACAGAAAAGATTTGCCCTTCTCCTCGAAAAATCTTCTTTTTTTTTCCCCCGTCTGCTCGTCTTGATATCCCTGCGTCCTTGGCATGGTTTGCTTGGGAAAAGCCCTCCTCTCGCCGGCCTCCCTCGTCTGCGTCTCCCCCTTTCCCCCACTGTCTCCCCCGCCGCGACTTTTCGACCACGCCTCTCGGAATGGACCCTCCTCGTTTCGCACGCTCTCTCGCCTCGGTGTTGCGCATCGTCGTCGTCGTCTTCGTCACCTCGTCGTCGGCAGACTCCGGGGGTTTTCCCTCCTCTTTTCGATTCGGCTTTGGACCCATTTTTCCCCTCCCAGAGGCTTTTCTTGTATTCTACTGTGATCTTCGGATGTGTCGCTCGACAGGTAGGACGCCGTTTATTTATCGATTTTTGCGATTTTCCTGGATTTTTTGTGCATAGTTTGACCTATCCTGCTTCGAATTTGAGCTAGAAGTCGGTAATTGAAAAATAACTCTACTTTTTATTCCCTTTTCTCAATCCTATCCTTCATTTTAAACGGGATCAAGCCTTTTTAGCCGATTTTCGGGATTTTCCTTGGATTTTCTGTGTGTAGATTGACCTAACCTGGTTCAAATTTGAGCTAGGAGTCGTTGGTTGGAAAATAGTGCTGTTTTCATTGACTTTCCTGGTCTCATTTCATTTATATCCTTCATTTTAAACGAAATTAGATTTTTTTAACCGATTTTTGCGATTTTCTTGGATTTTTTACGGCATAGTTTGACCTAACCTGGTTGAATATCGAGCCAGAAGCTGTTATCTGAAAAATAACGCCCTTTTTATTCATTTTACTCGTTCCTATCCTTCATTTTTAACGTTATCAGGCCTTTTTTAGTCGATTTACGGCATTTTTCTTGGATTTTTCGGCGTCAAATTCGATTTAATGTGACATTTTTGCGTTCACCTTCGCCATGTCGTTTTTTGGAGACTAACGGCTTTTTTTATTGATTTCAGTGGTCTTTTGTTAGAAATATCCGTCATTATTAATTCAATCTAGCCATTTTTGATCGTTTTTCGGGTCCTGCATTTTTTGGCGCGAAAATGAACTAAAAGGACGCTCTTTCGATGAACTTCTACAGTAATTTTGCTGATAGAAATTTCATTGTTTTTTTATAATTTTTTTATTGTCTTTAAATATTTTTAGCTAATGCTTTTTGAACCTTTTGTGGCTTTTTTGGTCTCAATTTCTTCCCGAGAAATTATCATTAATTTCTAGTTGATAATGCTCTTTTTCGAAATAACTATACAGATCTGTATTTGATTCACCTTTTCTGGGCGATTTTTGAACTTCTACCTGTTTCAGAAAGGTTTTTTGAAAAATTTTTTTGAAAATTCATTAATTTCTTGGGTTTTTCTGTTTCAAACGCGTTTCTTAAGTTTTTAAAAGAGCGTGGAAAGATTTTTGTAAACATTTTGAGGTTTTGAGCGTTTTTTCAGTGAGTTTTAGGTCTTTCTAGGTTTCTGGGACTTTGAAATAATTGGTAATTTTTCAAATAGGAATTTCAGTGCGGAATTTCAACTCAAGGATCTTATTATCATCAATTTTGAGTTTCAATCGATTTTTGTAGCCCTTTTCTGGAACTTTAACTTATCTATTCAGTGAATTTTTCCTTTTAGAACGAAGAAAAATGTCTTTTTTTATGTGGAAATTTTTTTTCCGGACCATTTTGGTCGTATCCGTTCTTTGAATATTCCGAAAGACGTTTTTCTCCGTCCACAGCAGACTTTGTTTCATTAAGAATCTCATTGAGGCGTTTTTTTCTTGCAAGGAATCTCATTATCTAATTTGTTGACGTCGGAAATTGCTTATCTTTTTGACTTTTATGACTCTTTTCGGCTCCGGTTTCGGCTTTTTGAACCGATTGTGTTATTTATTAGCTTTCTGAGCGTTTCTTGATTCCAAAAAAGGGCAATTTTCAATTTTAAAAGTTTTATTTTTCAATAATTTTATCACCTGTTGCAGTTTTTTCCCTCAAGTGCTTGGATATTATCATTTTTCAATCAAAAACCCCCTCGAATTTAAAGAAAAAAATCTTATTTTTTTGTGAAAAAAAGAGGTGACAAAATTTCCTCCGAGACGCTTCCCCACAGTGTAAAACATCACTTGAGATATTACAAAAAAATATGACTTCCTCGTGAAATTTTTCGCCTAAAAGAAAATTGTTTTTTTCGAGTCCCCATCACCCTTAAAATAATTGGATAACTTTAAAATTACGACTTGAAAAAAAGAGGATTTTTTTGAAAAAAATACGGAGAGGTCTGAAGCCCAAAAAAATCAAAAATTACGAACCTTTTTTTCTGTAAGAATCATTGAAACACGGAAAAAAATTGATGAGAAAAAAATTTTTTTCTTTTCAAAAAAAATGCACAGAAATGAAGAGTTCAAAAAATCGGACGAGAAGAGAATGAAAAATGTCTGCGTCTCTTCACTTTACACAGTCTCTAGTTTGTATAAACTTTTCCAGCTTTTTTTTGTCAATTTTTACTTGAAAATCGAAGAAAAACTACAGTGTCTAGGTGCCTCCTCATTTTACACAGTCTCTAGCTTTTCTGGTCATTTTCAGCATTTTTTTTCTGTTTTCTTTATGGACTAGACCCAAAAAAGAGCTTCAAATCCAATTCTTCATCCACAAAAGCTTCCTTAAGCTTCAATTTTTATTATCTCTCCTTTTTACCTGACTTTGACGTCATTGGCATCTCTGAGAAGGGGATTCCGTTTCGAAGAATTAATTAATGGGACGGAAATGATTCAGTTCGACTCGAAATGGCTTTTCTTTCTCTCTTTCTGCTCCGTTTTCGTTCCTTCTAGCCTTATATTTATGATTAATTTGCAGTTTGAACGTTTAGAATCTTGTAAGAGTGGGTGTTAATTCGTATTTATTCGAGTTTGAACTCGAGAGACCTTTTTAATGATGATTTTGAGTTGAAAAGTCGCCGAAAAACTTGATTATTGGTTTGAATCCGCATTTGGAATGGCTCATGCTCTTTGCCGTTTGAGATGGACTTTTAAAATTCACGACATAAAATTCCCTATGTCAGTAGTCGCAAGTCGTTTCCGGTCGGGCGCAGTTGGGAATCAAAAATCCACTTCTTAAGTGAAAAAAAAAGAATTTTTTGCGTTTGGAATGGCTTTAGACGATGCGGTCGAGCTGGGACGTGAGATAGATGGTATTTCCATAAGAGAAGGCGGAAATCGGTTCTGGTCGGGTGCAGGTTGAGATGTTCTTTGTGGGGTCTCTTCATCACGTGAACCAGAGAAGTATATTTTCGAGTTCTTAAACTAGAAAAAAGTGATAAATTTGCTGAAAATTGTCGAAAAACCATGTTATGAACGAAAAAAAATCATAGATTGGTCGCGTTTGGAATGGCTTAAGGCAATGCGGTCGTGGGCTTGAGATAAATGAAATTCTCATAACAAAAGTCGCAACTCGTTTCTAGTCGGGCGCACTTTGAGATGTTCTCTGTTTTTTCATTCCTTGATCAAAAATTTGAGTCTATTTTTGAGTGTTAGAACTAGAAAAATGCTCTAAATTCTCTCAAGACTGCCAGGATCCTTTCCTGAGTAGAAAATATTGATTGGTCGCATTTGGAATGGCTTAAGGGGATGCGGTCGCCCTGCGGTTGAGATTTTCATAACAGAAGTCGCAACTCGTTTCTGGTCGGGCGCACTTTAATCTGTTCGCAGAAGGGTCTCTTCATCACGTGATTGTGAAAAGTATATTCTTAGACACTTGGACAAGAAAAAAAAAAACACCTAAGTTTGCGGAAATCTAAAGAGTACGTATGATGAGGAGACGCCCAGAAACTGTAACCCACTTTTTGTTTTCCAGTTTTCTCTTATCACATCTTCCGATCTTTTGTTATTTTTCGGTGCATTCCGAAGAGAAACATTTCTTATCAGTTTTACAGTACTTCGTTTTTTTTCTCTGATGGATCTTTTGATCATGGGGCGTTGGGTTCTTGGTCTTTTTTCCGGTAAAAAAGAGGGGTACTTTGTTCTTTGTATTTTTTGGGAAGGTTTCGGAGACTTTTTAAAGATTTTGGGAAGGTTAGGGATTGTTTTGAGAGGTTAACTTGGAAGGATTTGATTTTCGAAGTTTTTTAATAAAAATTTTTTTCGTGGCTAAAAAAAGACTGGTAAATGTGCTCCACCGCAATGGGTCTATATAATTGGCGGAATATACATTTTTTTGAGGAAGTTTCCAGAGTAAAAAGTTGAGATTCACAGAAATAAAAAAATAGCCTGGAAAAATGCGCTCCATCGAAATATGCCTCTGATTGGCTGGACACGCCCCTTTTTTTCATGCAGTAAATTGTTATTTCAAATGGTCAAAATTCACTTTTTGTTTATTTTCATTGAATTTTGACTGAAATCGACACATGAAGCTGAGTTTTTCTATTGAAAAAATGTGACAGAAAATTAAAAAAAAAAATCTGTTCGCTAGAGCGCACTTGTAAGGATGGATTTATTATCGGAAGTTTTTTTAATTTTGATTTCGGTTCGATTTTTGAAACTTTGAATTTTTATGTTTTTTTTTTCAATGAAGAGTTCATTGTTCGCTGGAGCGCACTTGCACCATCCAGCTTTTTTGCTCGATTTTTCTTCCTTCCCCATTCATTTTTGATTCTTTCGGCCGCCAATAAGCCCTGGCTGAGAGCATTTTCTTTCTTTTCTGTTAGGCTTGTTCTTTGCTTTTTCCGCTGGCGTGTTTAATGAGTCTTTTGCGTCATTTTTTGGACCTCGTTGAATTTTTTCGGGTTGTAGAATGTAGTTGGAGGGAGATTTATGGGACGAAAATATGGATTTTTAGATTTTTAAGCTTTTCCGTGAGAGATAGACGGAGGAAAAAAATCTAGGAAAAATTGAGTTTCTCTGAAAAGAATCAGGAATTTCGAACTGAAAAATGACTCAAAAGTCGGTATTTTTTTGACTTTTTTTCTTCTATATTTAATTCTCGAGACTTTTTTTCAGTTTTTTTCTTACTATCTTCAGTAAATTTTTTTCAAATTTTTCTGTGATTTTTTTGAACTTTTGTCAAGACAAAAAAACAGCTATTTTTTTGGACTTTTTTTCCTTTTTTTCACAGTGATTTTTTTGAAAAAAATATACGTCATTTTTTTCACTATAACTATCTTTATTTCGTCAAAAAAACCATGTGTTAAGGACGATTAATCACATTTTTTTCATCAATTTTTTTCTGGTGCCTAATCCAATAGACGTCAACGTGTGGATACATTATTCACCCCCATTTTTTTCCTGACGATTCTGATGGATTTTCGATGAGTATTTTTGGAATTTAAATGATGCGGGGGCGATTTTTCGATAGTTTTTTTGGTTTTTAGAATGATGTGCCCAACGCAATTTTATCACTAGGAAATTTTTTTATGAAAATCACAAAAATTTTTGGTTTTTTTGGAAAAAAAATAAGCTCATTTTGCCGTTTCAATTCGCCTATATTATGAAAAAAACCGTGTTTTTAATTATATTCAATTAAAAAAATATTTTTTTCAAACCGAACTTTGAAATTATTAAAAAGAAAATGTTAATTGATGAAATTCGTCCAAAAAAATTGAGAAATTCGATGTTTCTTTGAAAAAAAGGCAGAAAAAAACAGCTTCTTTTTTGAATTTTTTTACTGGTTTAAGCGAAAGTCGCTTCTAGTCGGGCGCAAATTGTAGCTTTTTTTCGTTAACCCATTCTAAATTAAAACACAACGAGAAACTGTTTATTAGAGGAGCCAAAAAGTCGAAAAAAACAATAAAAAAACGATGTCATTTTTCCCATAAAATGTTTAAATTCAATAATTTCCATTTTTCTGTGTGAGAATTTGCTTTGGGGGTTTATAAAACTTTTTCTAGAAAATATTTCTTCATTTTTTTCATTTTTCGTCTTTTTTTCCTCCGATTTTTGGAAACTTTATACATTATTTTAACGTTTCAGAAAAAAATTTCTAGAGTGAGTTCAAACACTTGATTATTTGAATGAAAATATACTTTTTAAACGGTTGAAAATTCTTCATTTCATGATTTTTTTATGCGGTAATTCTTTTTGTTTAATAATTTTTTTATTAATTTTTTTGAAAAATTTGGCTGAAACTTGTCATTTTTTTATGGGAAATGAAATGATGAGAATGATCTCTTGGATCATTTTCCGAAAATTTTTGCTTTTTTCTTGATTAATTTCATGTTTCTTAAGTATATTCTGTTAGAATTTCTTCGCTAAAACGACATTTTTGGTTTTTAATTGGTATTTTTGCAAACTTATTCATTTTTCTTGTAGTGAAATTGACATTAGAAAAAAACACATTTTTTTCCCATTTTTTTATCGGTTCGTAACATGTTAATTTTTGAATGGGAATGGTTTTTTTGGCGTTCTATTCATCATTCTGTTTTTCCTGAAGAAATAATTTATTAGAAGAAAAAGTTTCGAAATGACAGAAAACATTCATTAAGCAGTCTTCAGAATTTTTTTAAGTCCAAAAAAATGATTTTTTTGAAAAAAATTATTGCTTTTTCAAAGAGATTTGGCGATTTTTGAAATTGGCGTGAGTTTGTTCGAAATGATGACGCAAAATTGGAATTTCGGAGCTTTTTTTGAAATTTGAAAAAGTTTGAGTCTCACAACGATATGCTGATTTTTTTATGTAAAAAAATTCAAAATTTTCGTTTAAAAAAATGCCCAAGTTACTTCAAAATATAGAGTTCAGTACATAAGAGTTTCTGTAAAACCTAATTTTTCGTCCCGAAATTCCGATTCTGCGCATTTGGTTACGTTATTTTTGAACAAAAAAAGACGTCGATTTCGATTCTGTCACTTTTCATCATTCCCCCCTTTAAATTGATTAAATTTGTTCCCGGTTTCAGTGTGAAAATGGAGGAGAAGAAGTTCCTCATCACGCCCATCACCAACGGCGAACTCGTCGGCGCCCACAATTTGAACTATGCTCAGGTTCTCGATCATTTTCAGTCTCTTTATTACTTATTTTTCCAATGAATATCCAAAAAAAAACAATAAAAACTACATATTCTCTAATATCACCTTTAGAATGCTCAAAAAAGCACATTTTTCCTGTAAAAAATGGTTGATCAAATTTATTTTTTTTTACTTGAAAATGGCTCAGGAATACTAGAGTGGCCCCTACAGGGGTAAGCTAGGGGCCCTTAAGGCTCTCCTCTTTCATTTTTTTTTTTATTTCGTTAAAAATAAATTTTTATAAATTTGATTTCCCCTTAAATAATAATAAAACCTGAAAAAAGTAACCTCGATGAACATAATGCGGCGAAATCCGAACCGGACTCGAAAAATTATTGAAAATCTTTTTTTATTTTCAAGATTTTTTTGAGGGTATTTCAACATTTTTTTAGGTTCGGAATAATGGCGAAAATCTACAATTCAGGAGATTTGAATTGAACTTCTGTCCGTCTTTTCGAGATTTTTGAACTATCTTGGAACTTTTTTTTTTCGATTTTCGAAGTATTTTGCATTATTTTTTAACACTAAATAAGCTTCAAATTGACCTCAGCTTATAGAAATTCAGGATATAGAGGAAAAAAATGCGAGTTATGTTCAAAAAAACTGGATTTCAGTCATTTTTTTCCAATAAAATGTTAAAAAAATGAGTTCAATTTTTCTATGAAATTAACAAAAAAATCATTTTATTAGAAAGAAGCTGGAAAGTTGTATCTAAATACCCTTCTCAGGACGCCAATGGGACCATCTTCCTGTAGCCTTTTTCCTTGTTCTCACGACCATACGTGGGCAAGTTCTGAACAAAAAAAGCTTGCTAAAATTATTTATTTGAAAAAAATTTGGGCTAGAAACTCTTAATTTCTACATTTTTTTAGACATATTTTTCGAGATTTTTTTGATCATTTTATATAGTTATATTGGTTTTTTTCTTGAAATATGCCAGCTTGAAACTGGAAAAATGTGTTTTTTTATTGTGTCGAAATTTATCATTTTCGTGGATGTTTCGGTGAAGCTGGCAGTGAATGGACTATAGCAAAAAAAAAAATGGGCTTTCTAAATTTTTTCTTTTTAATCAATATGTCATTTCCCAATCTGGCCCAAATATCGAAAATTTAACAATTTACTTGCCGAACCGGCTTATAAAAAATCGAAAATTCAAAAATCAGAAATTTAAAAAAAGACCCTCCCCATGTATGGTTGTGTTGGTACGAAGCCCAACTAACAGAAAATCAATTTTCCGGTTGCCTTTGGCCCTGAGAGACGCCCCAGAGACACCCGCACCGCAACATTGATGGTGAGTTCCAGAGCGAGCCGGACGTCGCGACGGTCGACGACAACGCGTCGTCGAAATGCGACGGCGATATCGCCTCGCCGACGGACGACGACGGCGGCGGAGGCGTCGCCAGGTCGCGGACCCCGTCCGTCCCTTCCCAGTTTCCGTATCCCAACATTCCCTTGATCTACAGGTGATTTTTATTAGGGGGAGGGAGAACTCGGTGTTTTTTTGAGTTAATATGGGATAGAAAAGTGAAAAAAACAGTTCTAATATCTCAACATTCCCTTGATCTACAGGTGATTTTTAGTAGGGGGGGAGAATCGTTAGATTTTTTTGATTTGATTTAGAAAAGTGAAAAAAACAGTACTGATATCCCAACATTCCCTTGATCTACGGGTGATCAGGTGATTTGGGTGTGAGAAATAGAAGAAAATAGCTTTTGGAGTTGTGCGCTCCATGGATAAGTTTTAATTTCGCCATTTTTTGTTTGTTTGAATAGGAGAATTGAGCTGTAGAGACTAATGAACAAACTTTTAAAAAAATAATAAATAAATAAACACGAAAAAGCTATACTTGTGCGCTCCAAGGCCAACTTTTAAAAAATAACTCGGACTTTGGTAACGCGAAAGGGACGTTAGTAGCCTCAGAACTTTTAAGTGGTCCCTAGAATCGCCCAAAAACGTCCGGAGCACGTCCGTTTCGCGTTACCAATGTCCGAGAAAAGTGAATACTTGGAAAGACCGAAGAGCTCCCTTGAGGGGCTACCATAGTTGCACTGAAGGTGCCCCTCTAGGGACCGCCCATATAGGTTCTATTAATAAGGCGAAGAGTATTTTTTTTAAAATAAATTTAGAAAATTTGACTTTTCTATTCATTTTTTCAGCGGATTTATCAAAATTTTGCGGCTTTATCTTCTTTTTTACTGCATCAAAATAATATTTCCAATTTTTTTTGCTTCATAGTCCTGGAAATTTTGTTTTTATATCGATTTCTAGGCTTTTTTTCTTGCAGTGAGCCGGCCCTCTTCAGCCTGGGACAATATTCGTCGGCGGCGCCGTTAATTGCAATCAGCGACACGGCCCTGCCAAATGTTCGCCTTTTTACAATTATTTTTCAAAGCTTGCGAAAGGCAAAATTTGAATTTTTTCCTTAGAAATGGTCTCTTCTTCAATTTCTCTGTTTTTTGGAATTATTAGGCTCAAGAAGTTTGAGAATTTAGGACGTTATTCTGATCCTTTTCTTGAAAATGCCTCCAGATAAATTGGATAGTTACTTTAGGAAGTAACCTTCATATAAATTACTCAGGGTTTGTCTTTTCCCAATCAAGAAGTAGTTTAAGATATATTTGAATCGTCGGAACGACTCTGGGATCGCCTCGAGTGCCACCGTCAACGAGGAGGACAAAAATGAGCCGGCGACTCCGAAATCCTCCATGTACATGTCGGACATGTCCTTTGTTGGGTGCGATTTTGAACTTATTTCTACAAAAAAGTTTCGAAAAGAACCTATTTCAGGGGTAATGTGTCTTTTTTTCATATTTTTGAGCGGGAGGGGGTGTATCTTTTTTTATCTTCATTAAGGGGGGGTGGGTTATTTTTCCTTGATTTCATATTTTCAAGAGAGGTGATGTTCCTTATTTTTCATACTTTTTAGAATGGGGGGGTATATTTCTTATTCTCATATTTTTTTAGGGGGGCGGAGGCTATATTTCTTATTCTCATAGTTTAGTTTTTAATGGGGGAGGGGTCGTCATGTTCCTTATTTTTCATACTTTTTAGAGAGGGGGTATGTTTCTAATTTTTCATATTTTTTTAATAGAGGGGGTGGTTATGTTCCCATATTTTTTTAGGGGGTGGGTTTATGCTCTTTTATTTTTTTATATTTTTTTAGATTTTTCGGGGGAGGGGTGAACTGAAAAACTGAGAAATTTAACCTCTTGTGAACAACTTTTTTTAGGCCGGTTAATTTTTTTCTGTCCTTATTTAAATAAAGAAAAGGCGTTTTTCGTGATAATGTTCCTTGATTTTTTCACGTCGATTGTTGCCATTTGCCCCCGTTTTTTGTGTACTTTCTCGGCTTTTCCGCCACGATTTTCCTCTTCGAAAGTGTCGCAAAACGACGGAAATCACGCGACGTGTTGATTTTTTGCATTAGGAGGCTATCGAACCATCCTCTCCTGTTTTTTGGTTCCTTTCTTGTCTGAGCATTGGGGATTCGCAACAGGAAAATTCATCCACGAATTTTGCAGACGACATGGCCACAAGCCGTCATTCTCGACCCGGGAAATCCGCGAACAACACGCACGAATGCAACAGAAGTACAGAGACGACACGAAAAGGGAGCGCAGATTCACGGATCCCGTGGATTTTGAAGGTGTTTCGAGAAGAGAAGAAGAAAAAATGGACCAAATTTTGGTCGCACTTGGAATGGTTCATGTGACCGACTAGAAAAAAATTGATGGGAAAGATTTGAAGCTATTCCAAGGGCAACTAACTTTGGAACGCCTATAGGGGTTAAGGGAAAAGAAGTCCTTATAGAGAACAAAAAAGTGCCCTCATAGAAGGTCAAGATTTAAGTGGTCCTTATAGGGGTAAAAGGAAAAAAAAGGCCCAATGTAGGGGACAAAATAGGGCTTCTTAGAAGGCTAAGATAGAAGTGGTCCTTATAGGGGAGTAGGGTCAGACACTCAAGCCTTTTCAACTCAAGCGGTCCCTATAGGGTCATTTGCGCTATCTCCTGCGGGGAAAGGGGGTCTGAAATTTAAGCCTTTCTAGCTCGAGCGGTCCCTATAGAGGTTATAGGAAAAACACGTCTTGTAGGGGACAAAATAGGGCTTCTTAGAAGGCTGAGATAGAAGTGGTCCCTATAGAGGTGAAGAGTCAGACTATTAATCCTTTCTAACTCAAGCGGTCCCTGTAGGGTCTTTTGCGTGGTCTCTTAAGCGGTCCCTGTAAAATCTATTTTTTAAATTTCTATTCATAACAATAATCGACTAGGATGCCCCTTTTTCAAGCTTCAGCGGCCCCTATAGAAAGGTAAAGTGGTCCCTAGAGGGGAACCTTCAAGAACTCGCCAACTTTGCCCTGTAGGGACCACCTTGGGGTTCATAAGTCAGCTCAGGAATTCAATGATCGTCTACATGTACCTAATCAAAGAGTATTCTAACCTTTTTTTGGAAAAAGCCAGAATATGTAGTAAATTACAATCACTGTGAGGACCGCAAGCTTTATGTTAAATTTTCCTCACAAAAACTCATTCTTTCCACAGGAATCCTGAACATCATCGGCGGCTGTTCGTTCTGGCAAATTTGGGTCTATTCTCTGATCGCCTTCCAACAAATTCCTCACGCCATGTTCAACCTGAACGTCGTCTACATGATGTACGACCCGGAACATCATTGCCAAGTTGGTATCCTGTCAAATTGAAACGAAGAATTGTAGGAACAGTAATTTTGATGAAAAGGGTCACGAAGTTTGAGATTTTTTATTTGAGCGATGCATTCCTTTGCATGCATCAAAAGGCTTGGATGACGAAAAAATAGTGATTTTTTGAAAAATAGGCTCTTTCTAATAAGGATTCTGGGTTGATATTTCGATCAAACTTGGCTTTTTGGTACTTTAAGACGCCCTGATCCCAAATAAGTTGAGAAAAACTGCGCCTTTAGCTTTTTAGTAGAGTTATGACCCCTCGAAGACGCCAGAAATCCTCTTTTTCTCTACTGAAAAATACTTTGAGGCGTCATAGCTGAACTAAAAATTGTCAGAAATGCATAAAATATGGCTCATTGGTTCTTAGGTAGCAGTAAATGATGCTTTTCGTTTTTTAGCAGGATTATGACGCTTCAAAGACGTCAAGAACTTTTTTTTTCTTCACTGAAAAAATTTTTTAATGATATAATTTTATTAAAAAGGATAAAAATGGAATGAAAAATTGGCTGAATTGAACTTTAGAACATTCTGATTCAATGTAAGTTGAGAAAAACTGCGCTTTTTGCCTTCTAGCAGAGTTATAACACATCCAAAGTTTTGCAGGAAAGAAAGATAAGGATTTTTGATGTCTTTGAGCGTTCATAACTCTACTACAAGGCAAAAGGCGCAATTTTTTCTTTACTTGTAGAAAATCAGGGGCTTGGACAGCCATCTAACGGAATTTTATTGGATTCTGACACCTTTACCTTGATCGATAATATGATTATTTTGCCCAAGAAAACGACCAGATATGAAGATGAGGCTGGAGAACTTCTGAAATTTAATCAATTGATGGAATAATAAAATAAAATCTGATTCTTTGGGAACCCAATAAGGGGACAAATCTTTGTTAATTAAAAAAGCGATCATTTTCAATTTTGAAGGTCCCTGGCTTCAACGACACGAACATCACTGTGGACCCTTCGGCGCCGTTCCTCTGGGGCTATGAAGACGTCAAAAACTTCAGTTTTGTCTTCCCCAGCAAGGACGACGCTTCACCGTATTCTATGGACACGGTAGATATCCCCTCCGGCAAAAAAAAGAATATTGGAATGATTGCAGTGTAAATACTACCAAAGAAGCGAAGAGAGGTACCGGGAACTGCGACGGATGCCGCTGGAGAAGGCCAGGGACGAAGCCTGGAAGGACACGGCCCACAAGGCCGAGTGCACCAGTTATATCTACTCGAGTGATGTGAGTTTGGGGGGGCGGGGGGTCTTTTATTGTTGAAGCTTTTTGGAAATACAGTACTGGCCATAAAGGTATTTCAAAGGGGTTATTTGAGCATAACTTCTCTGAAAGTGGCTCAAATGACTTCAAACTTCGCACAGATTTCAAACAGTTATGCAGTTATTCATCTTCAAAGATAAAACTGATTAGCTCGAGTCAGATCAGATTTGTGAGCAAAAAACCGAAAATCGTAAAAATAGAAATTTTTCTCTTGAGATTCGAAAAATCATATTTCCAAAGAAACGTCGAGTCTCAATCAGAAACTTTTTTTTGCTAGTAAAACAAGTCTTCGGATTTTCAAAAAACCTAACCAGCCCCTTACAAACCCGAGAGTAAAAGCCTAGTGACTTTTTCTTCGGAAGACCCTCGCTTTTTGACGCCTCGTCATTCAAATGGACTTGACAAGGCAGGGTTGCGCGGAAGATTTGCGGAACTGCAGTTGAATCGAAATTTTTGAAAGAGAAGGTTTTTTTCGTCGGAGAAAAGTTGTTAATAGTGAAGTTATGTGCATTTTGAAGATAAATATCGAAAAGTTATTTTTAAAAAGGGTACCATTATTTAGAAAAAGTCTAAAAACAGTTTTACGGAAGACGGAAGGAAGTGCCATTTTCGGATGTTTCTAAACGATGAGTGCTTAATTAAAATAATTTTTTTGATTTTTATCTTCCAAACACTCCTAGATTCACTATCATCAACTTTTTTTACGATGAAAAAATTTTACACCGCTGAAATTTCAGTTCAAGTTCTCTTCCGCAAATTTCTTCCGTGCAACCCTGATACAACGTCAATTTTGTTTGAGCACACCCCGTTTAATGTTGAAAAACTTTGAAACACCCTCATAAATAGTTTTACACTGTTTCCCTCAGATTTCTCACTTTATCCGCTCTCCAGAATTCACTAACTTCACTAGGACCGATTTTGAAACCTCTGATTCGCACAGTTTTTCTAAAAATTCGAGAAAATTTTTTAAGGACGGAAAATTTCACAGTGGTTGCCCCGTCAATTTTTATGTTATTGTCAATAATTTGGAAGACTTCTCAGAAATCGCATTATAATCCTCTCCAGAAGCTTAAAATTAAGTCCGATATCATGTTATCGTAAGTGGCGCTCCAAAAAAAGGACTTTTTAAACCTAACTAGGAAAATTTTTAGTGGCCACTATAGGGTTTTGACGTTTTAGTAGTCACTATAGTAGTCAAATTAATGGCCACTTGAAGGGTTAAAAATTAGTGGTCACTATAGAGGTCTCAGTGCTACTACTAGACCACTAAAAATTTTAGTGGCCACTTTAGGGGTCAATGGATCAACATAACTGATCCAATCTGTTTGTTTTAAAATTATCAGAGTTACTGGAAGGAATACTCGATGAAAAACTACTGAAGTGGCCACTAAATAAAGAACCTCTATAGTTTCCACCAAAACGGAAAACAGTAGCCACTATAGAGGTGGGTTTAGTGGCCACTATAGTGTCCTATCCAAGTAGTCCTTGGCGAGCCTCTATAGTGGTCACTAAAAATTTTCCCAGTAAGCTTAAATTTATTCATGCCAACCCGATACATTTTTAAATTTTGAAGATCATGCGGGAGACCCTTGTGACGGACTATCACCTGGTCTGCAAGGATTACCTGCGAAAAGGCCACGCCCACTTGTTCTACTCGTTCGGTTACCTGGTCGGCTGCATGGTCGGAGGCGTGGCCAGCGACTCGTGAGTCATCAGAAGAACTCGCAAAAACCCCGGAAATTTCTCCAGATTCGGCCGTAAACCAACCATCATTGGGTTCGGAATCTTGTCGTCGCTCTTGGGGATGTTCCTGCCCTTCGTCGAGTACTATCCGATGTTCTTGTTCCTCCGATTCTTGTCCGCCATCTGCAACGAGGCGGCCGACCTCGCCGCCTACACCCTCTGCATGGAGATCACGGGTGAGACATTCTTAGGGCTGGAATCTCGAAAAATCCCTATAGTGATCACTCGTAAAACTTTGTTCTCCTCCGCGCTCTAAGACCCCTCCATGCGCCTTTAATATGAGGGGAATTTCAAAAAGCTACATAACCGAGTCATGTCTCTATGCATGTGCCTTTAATTTAGCTGTTTGTCTTATTAAAGGCGCATACTCAGAGACAGGTCACGAGTTTTGCAAGGAAGCTTCCCGGAAGGGTTTTTGAGTAAAAGGACTACAGTACCCTTCCAAAAAGATTCCCTTCGAAACTCACAAATTGTCTCTGCGCATGCGCCTTTAATTTAGCTTAAAAATCGCAGTCATATCAAAGGCGCATGCTCAGAGACAACCACGAGTTTCGAGAGGAAGCTTCCTGGAAGAATTCTTGAGATGAAAGGGCTACAGTACCCTTCCAAAAAAATTCCCTTTGAAACTCACAAATTTCCTCTGCGCATGCGCCTTTAACATGGCGGGGACTTTCAAGCTAATAAAGGTACAGTACCCTTCCAAAAAGATTCCCTTTGAAACTCACGGCCTGTCTATGTGTATGCGCCTTTAAAATGACAAGACTTTTGAGCTAAGAGCTTCAAAACCCTTCAATGCTCGCGGCTTGTCTCAGGGCTTGCGCCTTTTATATGAGGGGAATATTTGAGCTATATAAGCTACAGTACCCTTCCACAAAGATTCTTATCTTTGAAAAGTCAACGAAAGATTGTCCACTCATTTTTGAGTTTTTTTCCCAGAAATTATATGGTTAAAATGAAATTTTAAAATCAAAAAAAGGTTCTTTGTGCAGGAACTCGGTACCGGGCGATGGTCGGAAGTATGCTCCAAGTGCCTTGGGCCGTCGGATACGCTCTCTTGGCCCTCATCGCTTATTTGACGAAAAGCTGGAAGACTATCCAGGTCTGAATCCTTTCAAAAATTGAATTTTTTTGTGATAAATTCTTTCTTTATCGATTTTTTTCATAGAGTTATGGAGCTTCAGAAATCTTCAAATAATTTTTTTAATGGTTTTTTTGTAGTTTGAAGGCTTTATAGGATCAAAAATTCGTGATATTTAAAAGAAAAATAATAAATTACGGCTTCAAGTTGGTTTTTAATGCGAGAAACTAGCTTATTTTTTTGAGTATTTTCGCTTGAAAAATTTGTTTTTTTACAGCGAAAAAAGTTCTAGTTTTTTTCTGTAGCCCTGGAAAACTGTTCTATTACTTCCTATTAAAAAAATTTCATGCGTTCTTCCATTTTTTTCTCTGAGAGCTTCCAAAATCACTTTAAAACAGAAGAATGCGAAAAAAACCGGCTTCTTTTTTTGAATAATTTCAGTTGAAAAATTGGTTTTTTTATTGAAAAAAAATCACCCGGTCTTTTTATAATTGTTTAATTGATTAAATTTTAAAAATCATGGAAGGGCTCTTTTTTCTCCTTGTGATCTTGCTTTTCAAGGTGATCGCCGGCGGGTTTCATTTCCTGGCAGTTCTTCTGATTTGTTCGATTCCTGAATCCCCACGATGGCTCATCGTTAAAGAGCGCGTCAGCGAAGCTGAGGAGGTCATTCGGAGGGCTTGCAGGTCAGATTTTGAAAGAGAATGATTTTTTTTTAAATTTTGTGTGCATTTCCTCAAAGATTTTACCGGGGATATTCTCTAACTTCTTGTTTTTTTGACCAAAAACACTTTTCTAACGCTCCAGGGCTCTTTTTTCCTATTTTTCTTTCAAAATGACGTTCCAGAGACCCTCCCTTCCCATTCAATATGTGCCGAACAAAATGCGGAAATCTGCCGTCAGATCTCGAATTGGTTTGCCATCGAGAGAAGAAAATCAATACCAAGGTTTCTATTCGATTTCAGAAAAGTTTGGAAAAAATAATGATAACTTTAGGGAAAAATCACGATCATGGAACTTTTCACGATGAAAGAATTGCGTTTCCGAACGATGGCCGTGTGTGTCGTTTTCATGGCGACCGCCTTGGTTTACTACGGACTTGTCATGGGTTTGCACTTTATTGCTCATACTACAGAAAATGCCGGATGTTTAAAAAAAAGAGAGAGAGAATTTGGGTTGAAAATGAGTCGAAAATGAGTCGAAAAATGAAGATTTTTGCTCAAAAATGGGTGACCCGTTTTTTCAGCTCTTTCCGACCAATCGGCACCGGGACGAGTCCTTTTCACGGGTTATTATCATTTGAACAACGGAATCGCCGGTTTCATCGAAATCCCGACACTGTTTTTCTGCGTCTACCTCATGAAGTTGGGTCGGAAAAAGTGAGTTTTCGGGAGAAAACTTCCCAAAATGGAGGAAAAATCGTATTATTCTCAAAATTTTGATAATGGCGAACTTTATCTTTTATCTACAAGTTGAAAGAATGACTGCTCGGATTGGAATATAATTTTAATCATCAGAAAGTTATTTTTAACCTGAAAATTCAACATAAATGAGGTCAATTGCATCCAAAAGTGGTGAAAACCTTGAATCCAAGTCTAAAAAAAACTCAAAATCATGTGAAATTTCCCAAATTTGAGAGCCCTGATGCTGACGCTGTTGGCCGCCGGCATCGTGATCCTCATCGGAATGTTCGCCGTCATCAGCAAACACTACATGATCGCCCTGTCCCTCATGCTCCTCGGCAAAATCTGCGTTCAGGTAAAAGAACCCGGAAAAATGAGACAAGCTTAAAAAATCACTCTAAATGTCGATTTTCGAACAAAAACCATTATTTCAAAATCAGCAAAAAAAGTTCGTCCTCGTGAGGATCCGAACCTGCGGCCTTTTAAATGGGTTATACTTGGTCTTTCCTCAAAAATTCTTCACAGGATTTTTGTGTGGTTCATCCGCTTGAATACTATGACATGTCTGCGCTCTCTTTTTTTTTCGCTGGCGCAGAAACTCCCTTTCCCCATGATGGGGGTTGAGAGAGCGCAGAGAAGTCAGACAGGTTCAATTTTTTTCAATATTAGAGAAAAGAAAATTTTAGTTGAGAGAAAAGAGAGCCCAGAGAAACCAGGCTATTTTAACTTTATTCAAAATTTGAAAAAAATGGCTCAGTTTGAATTAAGAATTGGCCAAAAATTTAATGTCTCTGACCTGTCTGCGCCCTCTTGTCTCTCTCCAGCGCAGAAACTCTCTCTTCTCATAGTGAGGGCTGAGAGAGCGCAGAGAAATCAGACAGATTCAATTTTTTCGAATTTCGAAAAAATGAAAAGCTTAATTTGAAAATAACTCTAGCCACAACTTGGAGCTCTCTTTTTTCTCTGCGCTCTCTCTTGTTCACACTCTTTTCAAGTTTCTTTGGCCTCCACGGGGAGAGAGAAAAGACGCAAAGAAAACAGATTGTGCCAAGTTTCAGCGAATGATTTAAATATTCCAATTTTTTTCGTTTTCCAGGGAGCCTTCAACATTTTGTACATTTTCACCTCGGAACTGTACCCGACCGTATGCAGAAACACGGCCGTCGGCGTCACTTCCATGGTTTGCCGCATTTGGAATGGCTTTTTCTCAATATTTCACATCTTCAGGTGGCTCGTTTCGGGTCAGGAATATCCTCCTACATCGCCCTCCTCTCCAACATCTCGCTTCCCATCGTTCCAATGATCATTTTTGCCATTTTTTCGCTCTTCGCCAGCATTTTGGTGCTGGTTTTGCCAGAGACCGGCGAAAAACCACTTCCTGAGACGTTGGATGTTCGTTTTTCTAGTGTTATCTTGCAGTTAGAGAACTGATAATGGAAAAATTGAGTGAAAAACAGGGAGATTCTAGCAAAAATCAGGAAATTTTGAGCTTTTTTAAACTTCTCATAAAAATGGCAAAAAATAACAAAAATGCGAGTTCACTCGGCCTTATTTTGAATTTTTAAACTAAAATTGAGAACGATTTTTGAGCAAAAAAATTAGGGAGATTCCATCAAAAAAATCGTTCATAATAGGTCTCATAAAACAAGAAAAAAAGTCAGGAGCACAGAATTCAGGAATACTCGGCACCATTTTTGAATATTAAAAAAATAAAAAAAGGTGATTTTGAAAAAATTAAGAAAAATTGGAACCTTTTTCATATAATATAGCTCATACAAAAACAAGAATTGGGTCTAATTTTTTCCACTTTTCAGGACGCGATAACGCAACCAGAGACGCGTGTCCATTGTATGTATGGATTCATGTTCCGCGGCGTCGGCCGGTTGACCCGAAGCATCTCGTTGACCGAAAATCCGACCAGCGACTTTGATAACGAGTTTGTCGATTTTTTTCATTCCTAAAATATTGGAAGCCTTTGAGCCACGATCTGGGCAGAAAAATAAAATATTTGATGTTAACTTGTTAGACTTTTGTGAGTTTTTAAAAAGCGTTAGATGTTTTTTTGAGTACTGACAAAGATTTTGGACTCTTTTTTGTATTTCTAAGAGAAATTCCCGTTTCAAGTTTCTACTAAAATGTTCCTTTTACCTCATTTTCTTCGTTTTGTTTTCGTACAAGAGTTTTGAAACTTTGGATACAGGTAGATAATTTTTATTATTTATTTAAAATTCAAGACAGACTTTTTGAAATCTTACTTTTCTCGAGCTTCATGGTTAAAATTTCAGAAAAAAAAATTCGCATCATTTTCAAGATTTTTGAGCGGAAACTTTGAAAATTTAATTTTCCAGTAAAAATGGTCAAAAAAGGGAAAATTTTTAGAGGATCGCGCCGTCCCTCAAGCGCCATTAGAAGGAACGTCATGTCGCCGGTTCCACCAGTTGTTTATTCGCGAAATGTTCGTTTTTTACAGACTTACGTGACTTGAAACGCTAAAAATTGCTTTGAAAGCGCTGAGAAATGTAGTAGAATTTTGGATGATTTGCCTAAAGCTGCGCCCGACCTTGAGCGGCTTCTCTCTGAGCTAGAGGATGCCCCCCAAGCGCGAGTTGTTTTTCGTCGGGTGCAAAAAATAAAATAAAATGGATTATTCGAATATTTCAAGGGACTTTGAGCCATTCTCCATGACACCACAGCGTTTGAAAAAATCGAAAATATTATGAAAAAAATTGAATTTTTGCAGACAAGTCGAGCCGATTCGATTTTCGCCGAACTGGCCGACCTCCAGTTGCCCGAGAAGCTCCCGGAAGCCTTTGACGAATAATTTCGTCCCATTTTTTGTTCCCTCCACTTCAATCAGTTATATATCGAAATTCCGCCTTTACTCGACTCCTTATACGGCTTTTTCTTATCATTTTCATCAAGCTTGGCTTTCATTATTCAGTTTTGAACCTTTTTTTGTTGTTATTAATACTCGTATTTCCTTTTTTTTTCCGATTGATGTGCTTTAAATATGAGTATCATATCGATTACGGACCGCTTTTTTTCTTTTGGGTCTTTAAAGGGAACGCTTTTTAGCTCGATTTGTTGTTTATTTCCCATCTTTTTCATGGTTCGATGCAATCAGGCTCAAGTAGTTTCTGGTCGGACGCAAGCTTCAGTTATTCGATTAAGAATCGCAGAAGTGGTGAAAAACTGCGCTTTCACCCTATTTTGGCCAAATTTGGAATGTCTGCCTGCGTCGCGGTTGCGCAACGTTTTGAAAAAATTTTTTTTTTGAAGAACCGCTAACGAAGCCATTCCAAATGCGACCAGCAGATCAGAAAGCGTCGCCTCATGATATAACATAATGGTGAGAAAACACACGAAAATCGTATACTTTGATGATTTTTCGGGTCCCATTTCGCTTACAAACAATTTTAGTCTTGAATTGATACTGGGGATTTCTTCATCCATACCTCATTTCCTACATTTTTATTTAGGCCTCTACTACTATTTTTCTGGGTCGTTTCGTGCTTTTCTACACTTTTTATGTACTGTATTGCTTCTCTGAACGATGTTTTTTTGTATATAACTGCAGTCTTTGAACTATTTCAAGTGTTTTTTTCTTCTCCGAGGGGCTGGCCTCTTTTTGTTTCGTGTGTTTTCTCACTATTTGATTATGTATTGGAAGCTTTTTAGTTCAAAAAAGCAACTTTTTTTTTTACTTTTTTTCTTTTTTCCTACGGTTCCTTCTCCTCTTGTTCAATTTCAAAACAAAGAATGAATTATTAGTACATTGATTCGAAGTTTGATCAGTGAAAGCGAAGAAAAAAAATAGAGTTCAAATTAAATTTTAGAAACCTTTAGAAAAAATGGGTCCCACAACGACATATAATAAAATATGAATTTTTACGGGTTTATGGCGTGTTCATCGGACAAAACGAAAATTGCTTCGAAACGCAAAAATTACTCCAAAACAACTCGGACTTTGGTAACGCGAACGGGACGCGAAACGGGCGTGTCGGGGCATTTCTAGTGACCACTTTAGTAGCCTTAACGCTCTTAAGTGATCCCTTGGATCGCCCAGAAACGTCCGGAGCACGTCCGTTTCGCGTTACCAATGTCCGAGAAAAATTAGTACTGTTTTGGAGCAACTTTGGCGCGCCGATGAACATGATTTTTCGTTTTGAAGAGTAAGACATCGGAAGATCTCTTGGCTCTTTTGCTTAGGCCGGAAGCCGATGACGCAACGGACCGTCATCCTTCAGACGCTCTTAAGGGCAATTAGAGCAGCCAAAACATAGGCGTCTGGCGCGAGGCAACCGCGCGGGCGGATTGATAAAGCCTGCGCCTTCGCGGTTTAGCACAGTCCCTCGCCAGACGCCTCCACTTTATAAAGGCAAGAATAACTTTGCTCTTCCAGAAGAGGCGGAGCCGACCGACCGCCGACGATCCAGCCAGCACCATCGCCAGTCGAGCCCGGAGCGGACGCCGTCCCGCTCCCTCGCCTCCAACCATCCCTCCCACTTTTTGCGCACCCCTTCAGCTATATATAATAATATATGAATTTTTACGGGCTTATAAACTCAAAAACTTTTAAAAATCAATCTTGTTCTCCGTTACACATCCAAAAGAAAGAGCATTTTTATGCCGTGTTCAAAGTGATTCCGCGAAATTCAAAATAGCCGTCAGAGAAAGAGAAAGATAACTAAATTTTGGAGGGTCAGAGACAATTTCGCATTTCGCGGAAATTACTTTGAACACGGCATTAGTACATCTTTTTTTTTGTTGACCTTTTGAGGTGAAATGTTAAAGGCGCATGTTGAGCAAATGATATTCATCCTATGACGACGAACACGTGCGACGCGTGGTCACAAGAATGACGAGTCAGCTTTCGATAAATAATTTTATCATTTCATAATTTCATTCTTTTTAAAATCTATCTTTTAGTCTTGTAGTCGTGCTGCGTCCCTCAAAGGTGCATAGACAAGATCTCGAAACGAAAAGACTTACATTGAAAGCATTTTTTCGCTTCGACCTCTTTCTATGCTCAGTGGAAAGCAACAGATGAACTGATTGTGTTATCCGCGCCAGCTTGTCACGATTTTCGTTTAGCTCCGAGCTAGAGAATCATGTTTGAAGCGCGCGCGCGATTTTTCTTGGCCTGCGTCTTCTGTTTGGCCTATAGTTCCTGATATATTAAAGGCGCAGGCTCCAAAATACCCCGCGCGCATCGAACCGAATGATTCTCTAGCTCGGAGGCAAACGAAAATCGAGACAGGCTGCACCCAATATTGTGGACTATATGTCAAATATTTCTCGTAATTAGTATACCTGATTCACGGCTAGCTTGAGCCAGCGAAAAAGTGGTCCTGACACGATAATGCACGAGGTAGCGCCTGGCTTGTGGAGAGCGCAGACAGGACACGCCCCCTTGGCGTCCCAAGCTGGCCGTGAATCAGCTATACTAGACCCACGATTAGGGAAAAATGTAGTGATTCATGCTCATTTATGTAAAATTTGGAAAACGTTTGTATAAATTCGTTCAAAAGTTCTGTGATTCGTGTTTCTCATGTTCATTTTCGCAAGCTTGGAGGGTCGGAATCTTGATTTCGAGAAGTTTGTAAGATTCGTAGATTTTTTCAAAATACTCAAATATTTTTTTATCACTCTGGGTTTTTTAAGAAAGCCATGGAATCTGTTCGTGGGCGAGGACGTGGAAGCGGAGGATCTGGCTCTGGAAGTGGCCTACGAGACGAAAGGTCGTTTTTATTGAATAAAATGTTGAAATAGTTAGTGTCGTTCCAGTCGCAAACTTCTCGGAACTATCCACGGCGATCTCTTCACCCGACCTGCCATGACCGACAAACGAGGTCTTCAAAAACCCCTTTTCAGATAAATTTTCATTTTTTCAGGTTCCTCCGGAACTGTGGAACAGTGTATGGTGAACTTCATCCCCATTGAGACCAAGTCTGACTACGTCATCTACCAGTACCATGTCATGTTCAAGCCTGCTGTCGACTCCAAGTCTGTCAGGTTGAAATCGAATCGACTTCTTGTAAAACTAGAAATGATTATTTTAGACAGAATTTGTTGAAAAGCGCCAACATCATCAATGAGATTGGTGAGCATTTCGTCTTCGACGGAATGATTCTCTATCTTACCAGCGAATGGGAGAATCACGTGAGTGCATCAATTTGTTTTTTGACTTGTTCATTGGCTCGGGAAATTTTTTGCAGTAGTGTTGTTTAAAATATAAGCTCAAATAGAGTTTAATCTTGATTAAAATCCCTGAAAAAAAACAGCCCAAAGAAGTTTTTGCACCTTTTTTTTCTTTGGGCCATCAATGTTCCCTGAAACTTTCCAGAGGTTTTATGCCCATGTGCAAATAGTTTTCCCCTCTAATTTTTGCCTTTTTGTTCAAGATTATGAATCCCGCTTTTTTTCATCTTTAAGCGTTTGCTCTCCTCATAATGCTAAAGTTGAAATAACTTATAAATAAAACTCAACCATACCCATTTTCCTTTTAAATATGGTTCTTCAAAAACTTGAAAATGCTCGGAACTGGTTTAAAAAGAGCGTGCGTACTGATAATTATCATAAAAAAATACCAATAGATTCATTTTTCAACATCTTTTTTTCCCCTTCTTTGTAATGAAATTACTAAATGATTATTTTCAGCAAACGATTGAGTGTCCGCATCCGGTGACCAACGAGTCGATCGCTGTCGATTTTAAATTGACGTCGAGATTCGGTCTGAACGATGCACAGACCATCAATTGCTTCAACATTGTTATCAGAAGGTGAGATTCGCGACTCCAACTCTCAAAAAAACGATAAATTCAGATGTTTCGACGAGATTGGTTTCACCCAACTCGGAAGAAATTACTTCGACCCCAACGCGGGCAAAACTGTCAGCTCTTACAATATGGATGTCCTCCCAGGTTATGAAACTGCGATCAGGATGTACGAAGATCAGCTGATGCTCTGCGTAGAAAATCGTTTTAAAATGGTTCGAAAGGAGAGCATGCTTGAAATTGTGAGTTTTCTGAAGAAAAAAAAACGTTCAATGGGGACTTTTCAGATACAACGCGAAATACAAAATTGCCGTGGAGACTTGGAGAGGGCCATTCAAAAGATCAATGAAGTTTTCCAAGGATCAACGATTCTGACATTGTTTGGCTTTCAAATATTTTACCATGAAGTTTACGCCTAAAATCTTGAAATTTCAATGATCAAGATAAGCATTGAAAAAAGATGCTGATTTCAGAAAATACATAGAAGAAAATTTGGTAAAAATTCTTTCAGGTACAATAACAAACTGCATCGTTTCACCCGCCTCGACACGAATCTGACCCCGGAGTCCCAGTTCAAGAAGGACGACAGGACGATCTCGTTGAGAGAGTACTACGCGACCCAGTACCAAAAGACTGTGCACAACGTCCAGCAACCCATCATCGTACTCTTCTGAAATTCAATCGAGCATCCATCATTCTCATTCAGATCAGCGAAGGAAAGCCGAAGCAGCCGGGAGAGCCTCCACAGGTCAACTACCTCATCCCGGAACTTTGTTTCCCGACTGGTTTGACGGATGAAATGCGAAAGGACATGAAGGTAGTTATAAGAAAATTCAGCATAATTTCCCTAATAGAAAATTTTCGAGCGCCAAGAATTTATCTTTAACAAACTTTGGAAATTGCTCAGTTGACTGACAAAACGCGAAGTATTTTCATTTGATCATAGAAACATCGGAATTAAAATCAGTTAATTCTCAGAAAAAATGCGAAAGACATCAGACACACAAAAAGGGAACATGTTGTTTCAGATCATGCGAGGTGTGGCGTCTCACACTCGCCTCAGCCCAGAAATGCGTCGCAGGAACACGGAGCTGTTGCTGCACAAGATGCACAACAACACTAAGGTTCGCGATCAACTCGCAGCATGGAATATCCAACTTGGAAGCGAGTTGGCTCGAATGGACGCCCGCGTTCTTCCGCCAGAAGCTGTAAGGAAGAATCGCCAAATGAACCAGTTGATATTTATTCACAGCTCGTTGGTGGCAACGGCCGGTCGATCATTGGAAGCCAAGCCGAGTGGTCCAAGAACGTCAAGTCTTGTGGCGTCTTCGCTGGCAGAAGCATGACAAACTGGATCGTCGTCTCTCCTGGAGAACAGTTTGGCCCGTTGGCTCGGAAATTCGTTGGTAAATTTTGCGAAGAAATTTACAAAAAGTTTGAAAAAAATTCCCTTTTTTTCCTTAAATGAGCGAAAAAAATCAATCATTCAGTTATCAAGTCGATAAAAGGCAAAAAAATTCGAAAAAAAGCTGCAGTAATTTGAAGCTTTTTTTCGAAATTCAGACTTAGCTCTTTTTTTTTTTTGAATTTCTATTCCAGAAAAAAAAACTATTAATTTTATTGTTTGTTCTCAAACTTTCCCTCTCATATAACTGATTATGAGAAAACCCAATCTTAAATTAATTAGCGCCGCTAAATCCAGACGTGGGGGCTTGCCTCACGCGCGCGCCAATTCAAAAAAGTGCGCTGGCGCACAGAACCCAACATCCCCCATTAATGTATATCTTTTTTTTCAGTCAATCTTTCCGTTTATATTTTTTTGTCGAAAGATTGTTTTTCGGTTAATTTCGCCATAAAAGTGAATCGATAAAAAAATATTTGAAATAAAAATAGTCAGTGGGGTTCTTTTTTTCTTTTTCGCAATTTAGTACTTTATGTCACGTTTTGACTATAAATGTAGTTCACGTTTACATTTAAAAGGCCACTCGAGGTATCCATATAATCAGTAAATGTATAGAATAAACGGTGCGATAGCTATCGGAGTGCTATTCGACAGCATACAAAGTGCCCATAAAAAAATTTCAAAAAAATTTCAAATTACTGCTGTTCATTTTTTTCAGATTAATGTTCTCTGTAATTTTTTTCGCATAAACTGTTTTTCACTATAAAATATTCAGTGTAATTGTGACGTAATTTTATCCGTAGCGCGCACTAATTTTTTTCTGTAAATTCAGAAACTTTGACGCCTCGCTCACCTTCCCTCACCCCCATTAGGAATGCCGTTTCCTCAGTACCCTATGGCGCTTAGCTGATATTTCTTTTCATTTTTGAGTACTAATCTAATCAGTGGTCGTTTATTTAGATCAATTTTTTGTTATAGCCTATTCCGCGCCAGCTTGTCACGTTTTTCTTTCCGCCAAAAAGACCGTATACCAAATGAAATCAAATTTCTGCTTTTTTAACGGCAAGAAACAAAGGTCTTGAAACGAAGTTGGTCAAATTTGGCCTTTTGGCGGAAAGAAAAACGTGACAAGCTGGCGCGGAATGGCCTATAACCGTGCTAAGACCTGCTCAGCTAGTTAAAAAAGGTAGCTACTCGGTAACTATTTGTATCTCTATCACGATTGACCAGTGGAAAAAAATTTGCGAAAAAAAACTATTTTCATTTTAAAAAAACTCGATTATTTTTTTATTGAATCACTTTTTATGGCGAAATTAACCGAAAACAATCTTTCGACAAAAATATAAACGGAAAGATTGACTGAAAAAAAGGATATACATTAATGGGGGATATTGGGTTCTGAGCGCCAGCGCACTTTTTTGAATTGGCGCGCGCGTGAGGCAAGCCCCCACGTCTGGATTTAGCGGCGCTATAAATTAATTTCTTTTCGATTTCCTTCCCTTTCAATTTTTTTACAGACGAAGTGACTGGACTTTCTCGTACTCTGGGAATCGAAGTCGGAAGTCCGATGTGTCAAATGCTCACGGGATTCCAAGCAAATGACTATCTAACAGGAATCAAAGAGGCTCTGCGAAAGGTTCGTAAGTTTTTTGTTAGAAAAGTTCGATTTTCGGCAAAAAGTTCCATGGCCTTTTTTATAGAGGCTATCCATTGTACAGTTTGAAAAAATAAAATTTTTAAATTCGAACTGAAAATTACTCCATGCACTCCAAAAAAATGAGATTTCTCTTCAGGTTGAAGGCCACGAAGTCCACATGATGGTCATCCTTCTGAAGGACGACAACAAGACCCGATACGATCTCGTCAAGAAGTTCCTCTGCACCCAAACCAACAGTAATAATTTATCCTTCAAAATATAATAATATATCGTATTTTTTCAGTACCATCACAGTGCGTAAACTTGAAAACGTTGGCTGGTCGACCAGGCGACGGCGGTCAGAACAAGAATTTCGGCTCCATCGTTCTCAAAATAATGTTGCAAATGGTTTGCAAGATGGGTGGTGCGCTCTGGAAAGTCAGCATTCCGGTAAGAAATCCAAAGAGTGCGCTTGCAATGACGAGTTCCCACTTGCAGCTGAAGAATACTATGATTGTCGGATACGATCTTTACCACGACTCGACGCTCCGCGGCAAGACGATCGGCGCCTGTGTCTCCACTGTCGACTCAACCTACACCCAGTTCTACTCGCAGACACGCCCCCACGAAAATCCGACCCAGCTCGGCTCCAACCTTTCCTATTTCATCAGAAGTAATCATTTTTTCCCCTAATTTGAAAATAATATATTTTTCCAGAGGCTCTGAGAAAGTACTACGAGTGTAACAACAACTCTCTCCCCGAACGTATCATCTTGTACAGAGATGGCGCCGGAGACGGTCAGATTCCGCTCATCAAGAACACGGAGGTCACTGAAAACCCAAATCAACTCAACTATTAATATTCTTTAGGTCAAATTGGTGCGCGACGCTTGCGAGTTCGTGTGCAAAAAGGCGGCTGATGGCGAAGCGCCTGCCGAGATCAAATTGGCCTTCATCATCGTCACCAAACGCGTCAACATGCGTGTTTTGAAGCGAGTTTTGATACCTTGGAAAAAAAAAAACAGTTAACAGTTTCAAAATAATAAAAATATTTTCTCTTTTCTCTTCATCTTTTGCAACTTCAAAACTTCTTTCAGAATCGGAACCAAGGAAGTGACGAACCCCAATCCGGGAACCGTCGTTGATTCTGTGGTGACTCGTCCGGAGCGCTACGATTTCTACATGGTACCGCAGTACGTAAACCAAGGAACTGTGACCCCCGTCTCCTACAACATCATCTACGATGACACCGACATGACTGCTGATCGCCATCATAAGGTAATCTTTGAATAATAGTAAAAAAATTCAAAAAAACATTTTTTGACAGCGTCCACGGAAAAATTTGTTGAGGACTGACTTTTTGATCCCTTGTTCCGCTTTCTGAGATTTTTAAATGATGATTTTGAAAAAAAGTTCTAATAGCAAGTTTAGTGCTCTTAACTCTTTATGCCGTGTTCAAAGTACTTTTAGCGATTCCAAAATTGACGCGTTGTTTTTTTATTAAATTATTCCGCAAAAATAATTTTTATGTTTTCAGCTCGCCTTCAAGCTCTGCCACTTGTACTACAATTGGCAGGGAACGGTCCGTGTCCCAGCTCCGTGCCAGTACGCACATAAAATGGCGTTCCTTGTCGCCCAGTCGATCCACGAAGAGGCTCACGAAGGACTTCGTGACAAATTGTATTTCTTGTAATTTTTTTTCTTGTTCACTCACCCCTTTACACATTTGTTTAATCCCTTTTTTAAGTTCATTGGTTACGCGATGCTTTAAAAAGCATTTAAATATTTATTTGCAATGCTATGTAATAAATAGTTTACGGCACAAATCAGAGAATTTTTTGAGGCATTCGACTTTATTCTTCTTCTATCTTTTTTCACCGATTGGTTTTGAAATACGTTTTGTTCCAATTTAAGGGAATCTTGAGTCGAAATTTCAGTAAAAGTTTTTTTCCCTCAATCCGGAAGAAATTATAATCAATCGACAGAGCGTCTCCGGACGGATGCAATGATACATCTCAATCCCTTATAACTTGTCAAAAAGTCGATTGCAAGCTGGATGAAGCTTGATCTCGTGATAACTTACATCAATCGAAAGCTGACATCGAGGCGAATCGAATGCTATAATCAGATAAGCTGTAGCTGCTATGAGAGCCGAGATATGAGCCGTCGAAGTTTGACATAAAAAATAAATTTGCGCGTCAGATCAAACATGTTGTGTGAAGTTGCGCGTTGGGTCAAGTGTCAGTCTGAAGCCCTCATCGGTGTGGTTTCCTCGCAAAAAGGAAAAGCTCAGAAAAAAGTTGGTCTTTTTCAAGTTTTTTCTAGTGTATTCGATAGAGCAGCTTCTATATAGTACTGTTATCATATCAGTTTGAAATGAAAAGCTCAAAAATTGGGTGAAAAATGGGTCCGAAAAAATGACACTTTTTGAACTTTCAAGCTTCATAACTTCGTTCATTTTTCAGTTATAGAAAATTTGATTATATCGATCGATTAGTCTCGATATCAGCTTGCGAATGATATAGTTCATGACAAGATCAAGCTTCAACCAGAAGCTTCAGACTCGTCTCAGCTTGTAACTCGACTTTTTGAAGAGATATCAGTGATTGAGATGTATCATTGGATCCGTCTAAAGATGCTTTATCGATTGATAATAATTTTTCGGATTGAGGAAAAAGCTGAGATGTAAGCTGGGAAAGTTGATGACGTCATTCAATTTGATCAAAACTCTTGAAGATCTGAATCACTGGAAAGCTTATGATAAGACGAATCGATTGATAGGATCAGTTCCTCTGAATCTTCAAAATGAACGGAGTTATGAAGCTTGAAAGTCCAAAGAGTGCTATTTTTGCGGACTCATTTTTAACCTCATTTTTGAGCTTCTCCCCAAACTGATATGATAACAGTACTATATAGAAGCTGCTCTATCGATTACACCAGAAAAAACTTGAAAAAGACTAACTTTTTTTTGAGCTTTTCCTTTTTCGCGAAGAAACCACACCGATGAGAGGCTCAGACGAGCACTTGACCCTCCGCGCAATTTCACACAACTTATTTGATCTGACGCGCAAATTTATTTTTTATGTCAAACTTTGACGGCTCATATCTCGGCTCTCAGAGCAGATACAGCTTATCTGGTTAAATCAGTCGATTCGTCTTGATGTCAGCTTTCGAATGATATAGTTCACAAGATCAAGCTTCATCCAGAAGCTTCGGAATCGTTTCAGCTCGTAAAATACCGGTGAAGGAGATCAGCGAAAAATAGGTCTGTAAGTTCCTGATCTCCGAGAAACTGAGTAACAATTTTCCAAAAAAACTGAAAACTTTGAAAAAAATCATAACTTTATTACTAGGCGTCTGAGAACTATCTGACCTGGATTTTCGGACCTCTGACGTCATTTCCTAACGATTGATGTAAAAATCTCGGAAACTTTGGTTTTCGGGAAAATCGAAAAAAGTACAGTCCCCTTCAGTTTTTTTTGAGCCCCTTCAGTTTTTTTTCGAGCTTCTGAGGTCATGGAAGCCGATCCGGACGAAACCTATATCAATCGATAGATCTCGACGAAAAAATAACCGGAGGCCAGGTTTGACCTCCGTAGGTCAACTAGGAACGTAGTTAGAGGCGATCAAACTTGGAGATCGAAAGTTCCGGAACTGTTCGAAATGGGTATAAATCGATAGGGGAGGTTAAGCAGGACAGGAAAAACTGGGTTTCTAAGTTCTCAACCTCCTAGAAATCGAGTTATGATTTTTTGAAAACTTTGAAAAATCATAACTTTATTTCTAGACGTCTGAGAACTTTTTGACCTGGATTTCCGGACTTCTGACGTCATTTCCTATCGATTTATGTAAAAATCTCGGAAACTTTGGATTTCGGGAAAATCGGTGTCGTCATACATGCTGGTCAAAACTCTTGAAGTCGTGTTCCATTGGAAAGCTGATAATGAGACAAATCGATTGATATAATCAGTTTCGCTGTAACTTCAAAATGAACAGAGTTATGAAGCTTGAAACCTCAAAAAGTGTCATTTTTTCGGACCCATTTTTCACCCAATTTTCGAGCTTTTCATTTCAAACTGATATGATAATAGTACCATATAGTAGCTGATCTGTCGATCACGCTAGAAAAAACTTGAAAAAGACCAACTTTTTTCTGAGCTTTTCGTTTTTCGCGAAGAAACCACACCGATGAGAGGCTCAGACGAGCACTTGACCCTCCGCGCAATTTCACACAACTTATTTGATCTGACGCGCAAATTTATTTTTTATGTCAAACTTTGACGGCTCATATCTCGGCTCTCAGAGCAGATAAAGCTTATCTGAGCATATCAGTCGGTTCGTCTCAATGTCAGCTTTCGAATGGTATGGGTCATCAAACGATTAAGCTTCATTCAGAAGCTTCGTAATTGTTTCAGCTCGTGACTTTTTGACATGCTGTCCGCAATTTTCTTCTTTTATTCGCCTAAATTATGAAAAAATATTATAATGATATTTTAAATGCAGAATGAAACACAAGCGAAAAAAAGCATCAATTTCTCAACATAAAAAATCGACATCAAAAATACTATTTGAAGAAAAGGAAAATGAAAGATTTTAAAGCTATGAAGTAAGGGAATGGAAGGACTTTTGGCTGTAAAATCATGGAATTTGTTGGATTATTAACTAAAATTTCGTTGTGAACTTTTAAAAATGAAAATATTTGAAGTGTAAAATAAGATACTGGAAAAAAAGAAGAAAAAAACGGGAATTAAAATGAGAAATTGCGGATGAGAACGGGCCAGCAGCGTCGTCGAAGTGCCCGTCGTCGAGCTTGATATTCCTCGCAGGCCACTTTAGGGAAATCCGTCAGCCATCTAAAATTCGAATCTTAAATTCTATAAAAAAAAATTTAACCTCATCTCGTCGTCGATCATCGTCATCAACGTCTTGTACTTCGTGCCGTCGATTTTTCCCTGAAATTTGAAATTTTTCAGTGAATTCAAGGTTTACCATAGCACTACCTTTTTCATTATAAATATTTTTTTAAAAAAAAAGTTTAAAATTTTTAAATGACGCCTTCAAAGTACAAATTCATTTTTTTACTCATTACAAGGAAAATTTTTAGTGACAACTATAGGGTTTTGACGTTTTAGTGGCCAATTAAGGGGTTAAAAGTTAGTGTCCACTATAGAAGTCTAAGTGCTACTACTAGACCACTAAACGTTTTAGTGGCCACTTTAGGGGTCAATGGATTAAAATAACTGGTCCAATCTGTTTGTTTTTAAATTATCAGAGTTACTGGAAGGAATACGGGATGAAAAACTACTGAAGTGACCACTAAAACGGAAAATAGTGGCCACTTTAGTGTCCTCTCCAAGTAGTTCTTGGCGAGCCTCTACAGTGGCCACTGAAAATTTTTCTCAGTATAAGCCTTTTTTCAAAATTTCAAAAGCCCTGGAAAATCCCGTAAAACTTAAAAATGCACTGAGAGCGGCTTTTCGCTGTGAGACCTTCATGAAGTTTTATAAATGCTCCTTTAAAAAGGATTTTCGAACAATAAATGATTCCGCGAAGCTCATTATAGACGTCAGAGAATGAAAAAGATAACTAAAATTCAAATTTCTCGATTTCACCCACCTGAATCTTCTCCATTCGATACTTCAAATCATATACATTATCTTCCGATTTCTGCAATTGTTTGTAGAGCTTCCGGAACGTCTCATCGGCTTTTCGGACTTCTTCCGAGTTGTTCACGATTTCCTCGACTTCTTCCTGAGAAATCATGAAAGTTCAAAATTTTTGATAGTCAGAAAAAAACAATAATCAAGGAAAAATTCCAAAAAGTTTTATTAGATAAAATTGAACATACAGTAAAGCTAATTAGGGAACGTTTATGCTCAATTTGCATAGTTTGAAAGCTTCATAAATAAAAATATATTCAAAGCGAAACTTTTTTTCCTTTTACTGAAAATCGAGAGGTCTTAAAGTACACTTCAGCGAAGTTTAATCTAAAAAAATTTAACCCTGGGGGTGGGTTCCTTAGTAAAGTTAAGGTCTTCATATCGAAAAAAAGGTTTTCATGTACTTTCTAACCAATTTATATTAATTTATACCGTTTCAGAAGTTTTTTTGCTCCATTATAAATTGATATGATTTTTCACGCTCATCCAAAACTTCCGAACCCTAAAGTCACCCCTATAGGGGCCACTCTGAAGTTCCTAAGTACTTCTACTTCACTTTGCAGATTCAAGAATCAAATAATGTCAAAAATATTATTGGTTATTGAGTAGGCTCTACTAATTGACTAACGAACTTTCAAAAATCAACTTTCCTTCAAAAAAAAAAAACATTATAAATAAAAATTCTTGACTGTGCTCCGAAGGGTCACATGTTCAGTCCCACTCGCCGCGGGGAAAAATGGCAAAAAATCCCAAGATTTCTGTATATTCAAGCGCTAATGACGTCACGCCAACCAAAAATGACGTCACCAAGACGTGAAAGGTATAAAAAACGTGAAAAATCCATTTCATTCAACAAGGCGTCAACTGGAATGTCGCGAAGTGCGGTCCGACTTTTCCAGGAAAAGCCGTCGCCCGAACAGGTCCCGCGACGGAAAACCCGGCCCAGGTCGGCTGCAACTAGCCCGAGCGCCGTCAGAACTCCCTCAGTGGTGAGGTTTCAGATATGATGCCTTTTTTCGGACTTTGGAAGCGTGCTCTAACGTACTAGGGTCCAGAAAATTCCTTGAAGTACTTAGGAACTCCAGAGTGGTCTCTATAGGGGCAACCTTAGAAGCCTTTGGAGGTCCCCTATAGGGACCACTAAAGTATTCAAAAGTGGACCCTATAAGGGTTTTACTTCGTGGCCACTATAGAGGTCTTGTTAGTGGTCCCTATAGGGGGTGTTTTGTTTCCTAACACCTATAGGGACCACTTGAGTTTTAGGGGCTGAGGTGTCAAACCCTGAACCCCTTTAGGGACCACTTTTCCTCCTAATCACTGTAAGGACCACTTATAGTCCCCAGAAGAAGATCTTTGCAGTCTCAACCTTCAAAACTGTATAGTTTTCGAGAAATAAGGACTCAAATTTTTGCGGATTGAATCTTTCTGTATGCTTTTCTGGTACACCAAGGATTATTTTAGTCGGTTTTCAGAAAATTCCAAGTAAAAATGACCCTCCTTGTAGGTCTTAACTTTCTCCTTCAGATCTACGTTCTGCCTGCGGCCGACCGCCCCTACAACGAGTCGCCGACGTACCGCAACATTTCGCCACGGACCCTTGCGGATCAGCTGCGGCGAAATTCTTTCCGAGAACTATTCGTTCTCATCGATTGCCGCTATCCCTACGAGTACGCCGGCGGACATATTCGAGTCAATTTTCGATATTTATTCGAGTTCATATTTGGCTTGAGCCATGGAAAAAGAGTCTTGATACGATAACAGAAGAAATAGTGCCTGATTGATGGAGAGCGCAGACAGGACACGCCTCTTTTCTAGCCGTGAAAATGTTATAGTTCATTGACCCCGAATTGAATCCGTCTGACATGTCTGCGCTCTCTTCTCTCTATCCAGGCGAGGGAAAAGAGAGCGCAGAGAAGTCAGACTTCATCGAGTAGTGGTCAGAAGGCCATCAGAATCCGAAGAAAGAAAAAAAAAGAATAAAGTAGCCATTTTCACACAGTTTTATGCGCTCCAAGGATAAAAATAGAAAAAAAAAGCCTTATGAATATTTAAAGACAGATTTTGGAAAAAAATGACCATTTTCACACAGTTTTATGCGCTCCAAGGATAAAAATTGAAAAAAACCTTATGAATATTTAAAAACAGTTTGTGGAAAAAATAGCCGTTTTGATACAGTTTTTGCGCTCCAAGGATAAAAATCGGGAAAAAAACAATCTTCAGCCTCGAAAAATGACTTAAAAAAATTGAAGGCTTCTGCGCTCTATGGCTAATTCGCTAATAAAGAACCTTTCATGTCATTAAATTTATAAATCAAAAAAATTTTTCTATCTTGTGTCCTTGATTATCAATGGAGCGAAAAAGGTCCTTGAAAAAAAGAGCTGTTTTTCTCCATTTTTCTGCCTCTTTTTTTTCGAAAGATTTTTCTATCCATTCCAGAATGCGATAAACATTCACGACGAGAAGCAACTCGAAGAAAAATTCTACAAAAAAGGTGTCCTTGAAGCGAATTTCCATCAAAAATTGCCCATTTTTCTACTGCGAATACAGCCAAATGCGTGGGCCAACTTTGTTAGTGAGAAAAAAAGTTTGAAAAAATGCAATTTTTTTTTCAGAGCCAAATCACTCAGAAAACTCGACAGTACTTACAGTAACAAAAATCGACAGGCCGGATTGAGATTTCCGCAAATTTATTTATTGGACCGCGGTTACCGCAACTTTTGGAAGTACCTACAGTTTCGAGTGAGATTTTGTCTTTTGTTTTTTTTTAATTTTTGGTCGCATTTGGAATGGCTCAACGTGTTGCTGTCTTTTTTATATTGCAAGTTCAAGGTTTTCAAGTCTTGAGAGCGAAAGTCGTTTCTGGTCGGGCGCACTTCCAAAGTAAGCGCTTTGGAGCGGCAACGCGTTGAGCCATTCCCCATGAGACCAACCATTTGTAAAATCATCATTTTCTATAGTTCTTCGGACAGATTTCTGAGGGTGAAAAAGATGAGAAATTAGTAGAATGGATTTCGAGCTTTTGCGCTCCATGGCTATTAAAAGACTAGTTTTACGGTTTTTAAAGCTTTTCTTATTTTTTTTCAACATCATAAAATGATAAAAATTCAATTCTCTCATGAATTTTACCCGTTTTTCGTAAGATTCGCTCATAAAAAAAATTCCGGGCTTGTGCGCTCTATGGCTAATTTAGAGTTAAAACTCAATTTGAGCTTTTTTTTTCTTCTTATTTGAACTGAATATGACTGATTGAATGATTGAAAACCATATTTATAGATCAAACATGAATAATACATAGATTTCCGGGAATAAATTTCAAAAATTTTTTTCCAAGTGCTACGACAAGAAAAGTTGGTTTGAAGGACCTCTGCGAGCCGTGTGGCTACACCCCGATGGACTCGCCCTACCACAAACGGGAGCTGGCCTCGTACCGACAACACCGTCGGTCCAGGTCCACCTCGGTCAGGCCCGCCCGAAGCGTCTTTGATCGAGCCCGCAGAGAGGTTTTTTTCTTTTTCTTATTCTTTTATTTTTTTCAATTTGAGATCACGTTGAAGGCTCAAATACAAAAAAAATAGTCTAACTATATTATTTCAAGCTTGAAAATGAGCTCAAAAGATGAAAATTTGAAAGAAAAAAAGTCAAAAATAAGCTCGAAATTAGTTTTTTTCGGAAGAAATGACATACCAAGATCATCTACATAATCTCAAATCCTCCCAGGAAAAATTCAAAAAATCCTTTTAAAATTATTTTCGAGCCGACAGAGGTGCTATTATTCATACTAAAATCCTCTACATAAATGAAAATCCCAGAAAAATCCAAAAAAAGTTTTTCCAGCCGACCGAGGTGATAATCAACCGGGTGAAGCTGGTGAGCATCGAAGAGGTCCAGACTCCGGGATTTTTCGACCGCAAGTCGAAAAATGCCCACCACGGCGACTTTGCCCACTCCCCCAACCACGCCGCTCGAACCCCTTGGGCCGAAACGCCGCGAGTTCGGCTCCATTTCGGCGACGAGGAGAGCGCCGTTTCTCCGTTTCATTGACCTTTATCGGTCATTTCTCTTTTGAAATACATTCTTGTATATACTAAAAACTTGGTGGCCAATTGAATTGAAGAACTTGGTAGAATTATAGTGAATTTTTCAAGTCTTCGCTCGTATCTTTGATAGATAGAGAGCACTGTGAAACAAGATAGCGTTTAGAGAACAACGGAAAGGCAAACCCGGGTGTAGGTGCAGTGATCGTAGAGGATCGGGGCGCTGATGGCGGCTTTCGTGTTGACGTCGACCGCCGTCACTTGCAGGATTCCGTTGTGGTCGACTTCCAGAGTCACCTTCGAATCGAAGAGTAATTATTTCGCAAATCAAATTCATATGGTTACAGTACTCTTCGTCTGAAATATAAGAATCCAAACATGGAAAAAAACCGATTTTTTTAAAATTTCATTATTTATGCAGCTGAAATGTGAATACGATGAACAAAAAATGATCAAAAAATTTTTTGACTGAATTTTTTTTCCCGCCAAAAAAAAACTGAGCTTTTTTTAAAAACTTTTCTAGACATCTTCATGTCCTTTAGTTAGTTAAAAACCTTAAATCTCCAAATTCTTCGAGTTTTCAGAGAGTCAAAACGATTTTCTCACCTCAATAATCGTTTCCCCACGTCTTCTCGGCTCAATCGACATAGAAATGTTGCCGAGGTGATTGTTGGCCGCGCAAAGGGCCCGTTCTCCTGGAAATTTGGAGAAAATTTACCCGGAGAAAGAGAAAATTGACTTTTTGAACTTTTTCAAAAGCCTGTATGTGAAAAATAATTTTTCAAAGATGTTCTAGATTAAAAAAATTTAAGAACGGGGTGATAAAAAATAATTGAAAGGGAAGGAAAACCGCCAGTGATGAAAAAAAAAAATCAATATATCAGATAAAAAAATATAAAAATTATATTTTTCAAATCTCAGCTTTTTTTCGACCTTATTTCATGAAAATTCCGGTGATTTTTAAAGGAGCATGGTAAGATTTTTCAAAAAAAGGTCTTGGGGAGAAAAATTTTCATTATAGAGATATATAATTATGATATTTATCTGTAAATCTGAAAAAAATTGACTCGATTGAAAAAACAGAGTTTCCTGGATACTTGTTTTTTTATCCTCAAATAGAAAATCAAAAAAAGAAAGAAACGTTGAAAAAAATAGAAAAAAAGGCTCTAAAAAGAGCGGATTTTTCTGATTAGAGTTTTTTTCGTGACAAAGTTTATCCAAATCAAAAAATAAATAAATAGAGGGACATATATATAGCTCATGAAACGTAGGACTTCCTGGATACTTTTTTTCATTTTTTTAACTAAAATATCGACCTTCGGAAAAAAACGTGAACTTGCAAAAAAATATTCTTTTTTTGAACTAAAAAAATATCGACAAAATTACAGACCCATTTGAAACTAGATACAAAAAAATCGAAGAAAAAAATGACAAAATATATAAATCATTATGACAAAACGTTTCATAGGCAAAGTCGGAAGGACCCTCCGGTCCATAAAATTTTTCTTTTAGGGTGATGAAGGGCCCTTTTTGCTGCCATTTTGAGCCATTTTCTCAGCCCTTATGCACCATTTTTGCTGTCTCTCCCTTTCTCCACCATTTCTCGACCCTTTAAAATCCTAGAAAAATGGAAGGCTCGATAAAGGGATTCTTTCTGCGGAATTTTTGTGACCTTTTTGCTGCTATTTTGCGACCTTTTTGCTGTCTTTCTGCGGCCTTTTTGAGGCCTTTCTGCGGCCTTTTTTGTACCTTTTTTCTGTCTTTCTGCGGCCTTTCTGCAACCCTTTTGCTGCCTTTTTGCTGCCTTTTTGCGGCCTTTTTGCGGCCTTTTTGCGGCCTTTCTGCAACCCTTTTGCTGCCTTTTTGCTGCCTTTTTGCGGCCTTTTTGCTTTTTGAAGCTTTTCTGCGACCTTTCTGCGGCCTTTTTTGTACCTTTTTGCTTCCTTTCTGCGGCCTTTTTGCTGCTTTTTTGCTGCCTTTTTGCTGCCTTTTCGGTGCCTTTTTGAGGCCTTTCTGCGGCCTTTTTGCTGCCTTTTTGCTGCCTTTTTGCGGCTTTTCTGCGGCCTTTTTGCGACCTTTTTGCTGCCTTTTTTGAGCCTCTCCTCCCTTTTGGCGGCCATTACCACCATGCCCGAATTCTGGGTTTTTTGATTTTTTTTTCAGCTCATTCTTTTTCAAACTCTAGAAATCTCCAAAAACCTATTTCCTTATAAACTATACCTTCATAAATCGAAATATCAATGACGGTTTGAAAATCGTGCGTGTTCTGGTAGACCATAGTGTGTTTGCAGGGGAAATAAGTCCCTGAATTTCTCATTTTTTTTTGAAAATATCATTTCTGTTCAAAAATCTTTGCTAAGGTGTTGAATGTTCAGGAATAAAGAAAAAAATGGCTTTTCGCTTCGAGACCCTTTTTTTGTAATGTGCCCGTGCTCCTTTAAACACCTCGGCAATGATTTTTGATTGATTAAAATCACCTCTTTTGATCATGACGCTCATATAATTCCTCTTGCATTCGATTCCGATCGAGAGAGGGATCATGTCGTTCATTCGCATGTCCTGCACCTCTTCCACTCCTGAGGGATCACTTGAGTGGTTTTATGGAATTTTTAAATTATTTTTTTAGAAAGTTCTTTATTTTTAATAGGAACACTCTTTGAAAAAAACACAAAAAAAGCAAGATTTGATTTTTTTGCGTGATCAAACCTCTCCGGCACCTCTTCCAATCCTAAGTGATCACTTGAGTGATTTGGGGTTAAAAAAATTTTTTTAAATTCTCCATTTTAACAGAAGCAGGGTCAGTAGAAAAAAATGCTAGAAAAAAATAATGAACAATTTTTTTGATTGATTAAACCGCTCATGCACCTCTTCCATTCCTAAGTGATCACTTGAGTGATTCGAGGAAATTAAAAAAATGTCAGAACTTTCTTCATTTCCATATGAAAGCAAGATCTGTGGAAAAGCCCTCGAAAAACAGTAAATAAAGGTTTTTTTGTTTAATCAAACTTTTGCTGCACCTTTTCCACTCCTGAGTGACCACTTTAGTAATTCGGGCGACTTCGAAAAAAATGTATGAATTTACTCATTTCACCAGAACCTTACTTCATGAATAGGTACACGGAAAAAAACAGATGGATTATTTTTTTGCAAAATAAAGTTTTTTTGACAGTTTTCGCCAAGTCTTCACTGAAAATCCATTAAAAAAAATCAGTAATCTATAAAATCTTCGGAAAAAAATTCCTTTTTTTAACTTGAAAAAAATGCTTTTGCTTTTATTATGAATATAGAAACACCTGGAATTTTTTTCAAGTTTACCCTTAGAAAATCAGTTTTTAGTTCAGAAATATCTCCTGGGACACTTGGAAGCTCCTTTTAGACATTCGGCTCTTGGAAAAAAAGGTTATTTTTTTGACATTTTTTTCGCCAAGTCCTTACTGAAAATCCATTTGAAAATCAATAATCTATGAAATCTTCCGAAAAAAATTCATTTTTTTAACGTGAAAAATGCTTTTGCTTCATTATGAATCAAAGACCTGGAATTTTTTTCAAACTTCCTATTAAAAAAATTCATTTTTTTGTTCAGAAATATCTATCGGAAGCTCCTATTTTTCAAAGTTTTGGTTCTCAGAAACTTTTGAAGAGTAAAAAAAACCTGTCAAGACGGCGGAAATAACCGCGGCCCCGTAGGCCACGGCCTCATCCGGATGGATGGTTTCGCAGATTTTGGTCCCGCTGGGAAAAGCCTCGCGGAGGATCTCCTTGAGCCTCGGGATCCGGGTCGACCCGCCGACGAGCACGATCTCATCGATTTGTCCTTTTCTCATGTGGGCTTCTCGGATCTTGATTTTCATTTTTATTTCGGAATCTAGAAATGAAAAACCGCTCTTTCCACATGAACCATGGTATCGAGGAGAATACTCTCGATGAGTTGCTCAAATTCGACCCGATTGATTTTCAAACGCAAGTCGAGTGACTCGTGGATACAGTCGAGCTAAAATATTTAATTTTTTCGTTTGAAATCTCAAAAATTCATCGGAAATTAACATTTGTCTTGGTCAAATTTTTTTAAACTACAGTACCGCTCAAAAGTCTATTAACTTTTGGTTTTTTGAGGATATCTCAGCGAGTACTCATCCGATTTATATGTAACTTTCAGGGATAATGTAAAAATATACTTTGAAAAAAATATACGGTATACAAAGACATGTCCGCAATGACTGTGACGCGTTTTAGGCATTTTTTTATTGAATTCCATTTTTTTGTTTTTTTATGCTTTTTATTTTTTTATTTATTTTTTTATTAAATTTTTTTAAAATTAATAATGTTGCCATATGATTTTTTTCATGTTTTTCAGACATGGGAAGAACCTTTGGAAATAAGAATTTGACTGATAACGACAAAAGAGCCATCGTTGTGGGTCGTCAAAATGGACTGACCATGATGACGTTGGCAGGAATGTTCGGCGTGACAAAGGCGGGCATTTCTCAGTTCCTAAAGCGTCAGAAAGCTCAAGATGGCTCTACTAACAGCCAACGCACTGGAAGACCACGTGTCACTGATCGTAATGACGATAGGAACATTTTGAAGACGTCTAGAACCAATCCAAGACTCACCGCCCCTGCGATCAGACGGGAAGTTTTCTCGAATTCGCCATCTCCGCCATCCGTCTCGACCGTGAAACGACGTCTCAATGCTGCTGGAATCATGGGAAGACGTCCAGTGAAAAAACCGCTGATTTCTGAAAAGAATCGAGTCGCCAGGGTGAAGTGGGCGAAGGAGCATCTCAACTGGACCCGTCAAGACTGGAACAAGATTCTGTGATTCGACGAAACGGTCCTCCACCATGTTTCACAAAGGGTAATTGGTATTTCGGATGATATCTGGACCCAATTGGTCTACGAACTCATTGAATTCCGTCACTTCCGAAGAGGAGGAACTTGATTTCGTCGGACGACAGAATCTTGTTCCAGTCTTGACGGGTCCAGTTGAGATGCTCCTTCGCCCACTTCACCCTGGCGGCTCGATTCTTTTCAGAAATCAGCGGTTTCTTCACTGGACGTCTTCCCATGATTCCAGCAGCATTCAGACGTCGTTTCACGGTCGAGACGGATGGCGGAGATGGCGAATTCAAGAAAAACTTCCCGTCTGATCGCAGGGGCGGTGAGTCTTGATTGGTTCTAGACGTCTTCAAAAATGTTCCTATCGTCATTACGATCAGTGACACGTGGTCTTCCAGTGCGTTGGCTGTTAGTAGAGCCATCTTGAGCTTTCTGACGCTTTAGGAACTGAGAAATGCCCGCCTTTGTCACGCCGAACATTCCTGCCAACGTCATCATGGTCAGTCCATTTTGACGACCCACAACGATGGCTCTTTTGTCGTTATCAGTCAAATTCTTATTTCCAAAGGTTCTTCCCATGTCTGAAAACATGAAAAAAATCATATGGCAACATTATTAATTTTTAAAAAAATTTAATAAAAAAATAAATAAAAAAATAAAAAGCATAAAAACAAAAATGGAATTCAATAAAAAAATGCCTAAAACGCGTCACAGTCATTGCGGACATGTCTTTGTATACCGTATATGTTTAAAAGTATATTTTTACATTATCCCTGAAAGTTACATATAAATCGGATAAGTACTCGCTGAGATATCCCCAAAAAAACCAAAAGTTAATAGACTTTTGAGCGGTACTGTATATTTTTTTGAAGATAAGTGAAAAATATTTCTTATTTCCATTTAAAAATTCAAAAATGCGGTGGTATGAAAAAAAGACCAGCGAAAGTTCAAACGGCGACTTTTCCGATTTTTTTCATATCGCTAAGGAACTTTCCGACGGCCACCTTTCTGCCGAATCTTTTTCCGACTTTTTTTCTCGATAAAATCTTTATTTTAAATCTTCCTATATGAAGTAGGTAGTTGGTTCATGATTAAAACACAAAGAAATAAGAAAAAAAAAATGTTCATATAGTCGATGTGCCACAAGTTGAAATTTCATGGAACAACACTCCGCTGTTTTGATTTGTGCGGTAGCGCGCATTTTGCGAGTTTGCCAACCCCGGCCACGCTAATTTTTTTTTTGGTTTTCATTCTAATTTCGATCGTTTTTTAATTGTCTTCAAAATGTATTATTATCGTTGAAAAGGATTGCGTTGTACAAATGTAAACAAAAGAACACAGTAAATTTCATGATCTTTCTCGAAAAAAGCGATTAAAAACAAGTTTGAAAAACTTCATGTATTCGTCAATCGCTTTAATATTGTTTTTCTCGTTTCTCAAAAAAGGTTTCAAAGGTTTACCAAAAAGATTTGCGGGTGAAATAGGCCGTAAACACCACAATATTCTACAAAAGTTTCCGTGTTTTTTTTCATGGCCATGTTTTAATGTTTTCATCGTTTTTTTTTTCTGTTTGCAGTCGTTAATGGTTTTTTTCAGAAATTGAGTGTCTTATAAAATGAAGACGTTTACTTCCATGAGCACATGCACCATAATTTGAAGAAAGGTTTTCGTTCCTTTTTTTTAAATGGAGCTTTAGATAAATCGTATTGCTGAACTTTGCGTCAGAAATGGGGCGTGAACAGGGAGCAATTGGAACAGTGGAAACGATGTGCTGAACGAAATTTCCAGCAAACTAATAATTTTTTTCTTTAAACTTATGTATCTGTTTTTAAATAAAATTCGTCGATGTAGAAACATTCAATTTTTTTAAAAATCATTCACTGTGTATTTTTATTTCTGATTGGGATATTTTTTTACATTATTTGAAATGAAAAAAACAAATGTCGATAAAGGCTCAATGAAGGTTAAATAACGGAATATATTGAACAAAAACCAAAGACCATCTCATGAAAACTTTCAAACATTATAAACGCATTTTCTCTTAAAATTCGAAAATTACTCTACTTTATTTTTATCAATGAAACAGTCTATCCACTAGAAAAGATAATTATGAATTTGGCACAAAGAAAACTATTAAAACATAATTAAAATGATGAAAATTTCAAATAAAAGAAAAAAAAAATGGAAAGCGCGACCGAAATTCGCAAAGGCAAGGCGCTTTCACGGCCACGGCCACCCAACGGAGTGTCGTTCCATGAAATTTCAAGTCGTGGCACATCGACTATATATGTTTTATAAACCGAAAAAAACATAAGGGAAAAAAAAGTCGGAAAGGGATCCGTCGAAAAGTTCCCTAGCGATACGAAAAAAATCGGAAAAAGTCGCCGTTTGAATTTTTCGCTGGTATTTTTTTGATACCACCAAAAAAATGCATCGAAAATTAACATTTTTTTCCGACAAAAAAATTTTTTTCTGGTCAAGGTTTTTTTCAGCAATATCATTGAAAATAAATGATAAATATTCGATTTTTTTCCTTTTGAAATCTCGAAAATTCATCAAAAAAATTAACATTTTTTTCGACTAAAAAAAATTTTTTTGGTCTTTATAGGACATAGGGACCACTTCGGCCTCCCAAAAAAAGTCTATATTTTTCCTCATTTTCTATCGTCTTTCTGTATATCTAAGCTTCAAAGCTATAAAAAAAGCTGAAAACTCAAAATATTATAATAAAATTTAAAACTTTAACTTCAAAAATTACTGATTTCGCGACCATTTCAGCATATAAAAAAATATTTATTTTGTCCCGAATTTCTGGATTTTTCAAAAAAAATTGGGAGGTTATTCAAGTTAAAATCAGCTGAAATTCAGTAAAATCGCGTTTTGACGCGAAAAATTCATTTTTTTCAAAGACACTAATTTTGTACAATTCCAAGTGATGAGGCGAGAAAAAAAAATTTTTGCGAAATTTAGAACAGGAGTCAGAGACTGGAAAAGATAACTGGATTTTTGGAGAGTCAGAGACAATTTTGAATTTCGCGGAAATCACTTTGGACACGGGATCAGAGCCAAAAAATACGCCTTTAAAGCTGAAAAATCGAAAAATGCTTGCAAAAAATGATTGAAATCAGAATTTTCAAGCAGTTTCGGACAAAATATGATAAAAGCGTCTCAACCTCAATCCTCGCATTATTGCTCGAAGAAAGGGTGATTTTGGCGTTTTCGGCGGCTTTCCGGAGTCGTTTCATGGCGCGGAACGACTTCATCAGGTCGATTCCATGTTCGGCTTGGAATCGGTCGGCCAACGCCCGGATCAGGCGATTGTCGATGTCTTCGCCGCCCAAATGAGTGTCCCCTCCCTTGGCTTTCACCTTGAATATTCTGATACGAGAACGAGAAAAAAAATAATTCGAGCAAGTATCAATTAAAGCAGAAAAAAAGACCCGAAATTGTTGGAAAATTAAAAAATTGCATAATTTTGAGGGTACTGAGAATCTCTTAAGGGGTCCCTACAGAGGCCCTGAAACAACAAACCCCTATAGGGACCCCTCAGAAATTGTTTAGTAAAAAAATTCCAAATAATATTTTTCACAAGTTCCGAAAGGTTCGCGCTCTGGAGACAAATCAGCTCGAAAAAGTGGTTGGCTCGAATTTTTTTCAGAAAACTTAATGTATCTCCTATTTCGGGGGTTTTTTTGAAGACAACTTTAAGCTCCTTAGTGATCACTTAAGCGATGTAAGCCCTTTTTCATTTGTCTCGCAAGTGTCTCTAGCTTATTAACAAGGATCACAAATTTTTTCTTCAATGGAGCGCGATTGCTAGTTAATTACCTTTTTGATATATTGAGAATTTTTTTCCCTGAAAAGCACCAAAACAAACCGTGATTCTCGGCCCATCGATGCTGACGACAGCCACATCGAAAGTCCCGCCCCCAAGGTCATAAATGAGGATATTTCTCTTGGAAAGCCTCTGACCGCCGTGGAGACTGTAGGCGATCGCCGCCGCCGTCGGTTCGTTCAAAATGCGGAGGACGTTGAGTCCGGCCAGGGATCCCGCCTGGAATTTCCTTATTTTGTGTGCTCGGACGTGCTTCCGGGCGATTCTAGGGATCACTTAAGAGTGCTGACCCTACTAAAGTGGTCACTAGAAACGCTCGAACCCGTCCGGTTCGCATTACCAAGTCCGAATTATAGTCAAGTTTTTCCGGAAGAGTTGGGTTAATTTTTCTCTTTTTTTGATAAATTTTCAATCGTTTTAACTATTTATGGTTTTGAAATAATGTAGTAGAACGAATAAAAAGTACAAAAAAATTAAAAAAATATTTTTTAATTTTTTTATGGTTGCGTTTGACCTCGAAGTCCCAAAAAAATGACCTCGAAATCCCAAAAAAATTAATTCTTTTTTCTTTCTTATCATTTCTGTTAGAAGCAATATTTTTTTATTTTTTTGTTGGTTAAAAAGTTGAAAAAAATTTGGATTTCTGAGAATTTTTCCCTTTCGATAAATGAATATAAAGGAGCAATACACAGTTTTTTTCCACTTTTTCAGTTTCAGTTTCTAAAAATTCATGTTATGTTCATAAAAAAAGTTTAAAAAAATTTCGCAAGTATGTTAAATTTTGTCTAGGAGCATGCACAAGAAACATCTCATTTAACGACTTTTTCTGGACTTGACGAATATTCTGGAAACGCCGTGATTCATTTTCTGTTCTTCAAAAAGTTCAAAGAAATTTTGGAAGTATGTTGAAATTCGTCTTGGTGCATGCACAAGAAGCATCATACTTGACGACTTTTTTTGTGAGCAGGACGAAACTCTGGAAACCCCGTGATTAATTTTCGTTCATCAAAAAAGTTTGAAAAATTTCGGTAGTATGTTAATCTTCGTCTTGGTGTGTGCATAAGAAACATCATATCTGACGACTTTTTGCGGGCGAGACGAAGCTCTGGAAACGCTGTGATTCATTTTTTGTTCCTCAAAAAAGTTGAAAAATTTCGAAAGTATGTAAAATTTCGTCCGGCGTGCATGCACAAGAAACGTCATATCTGACGCGCGGACAACCTTTTCATCAATGAAAATTGTGAAATTTTTAAAAAAATTTTTTCTTCTTTCTTTATTTCTCCAAATGGACCCGCTTCACATTTTAGCGATGAACTATTTTTTTTTTAATAATATTTTTTAAAATTCTGCATGTGAAAAACCTCCTGAGTGGCTCTCCGTTGAGAAGCGTTAAAATAGGCCGGGACCGTGATCACGGCTTCCTGGAAATAGAAAAAATAATATTTGAGTTTTCAAAGTTCTTCACACCTTCACCGGAATCCCCAACTTTCTCTCGGCATTCTCCTTGAGTTTCCGCAAAATGTGAGCCGAAATACTGACCGGCGAAAATTTGTGGGTTTTCGACCCGCTTCTCAGAACTAATACTGGGTCAACCCCGTCTTTTTCAATCTAAATTCTTCAAAAATAAGGGGAAATCGGAAAAAAAATCGACTCGAAAAGGCCAGAGAAGCATGTCCTTCTGCAGCAGGACGTCATTGAAGCGACGGCCGATTATCCGTTTGACGTCTAGAATTTTTGAAAAATTACTTTTTTTGAAAGTAAAGGTTATTGAAACCGAAAACGCAGTTATCCGGATTGGTGACAAAGTCCTTGGCATGCTGCCCAATGAGCCATTCTCCGTCTTCGTCGATCGCTAAAACTGAAGGAGTTGTTCGACATCCTGAAATTAACTAATAAAACAATATATGAAGAAAAAAAGTAGAAGAATCTTTGGATTTTTGCAAAAAAATGAATGTAAAAAAATAAAGCTGAAAATAACCATGAAATCTATTTGTCCGAAAAAAATGTCGTTACAAAGTAAAAAAATCAATAATTTCACTGAATTTCCATTGGTTATTGTACGAATTTGTAAAGAAAATGTTCAAAAAAACCAATGAAGAAATAACTGAGATTCATTATTTGATTTAAATAACATTATTATTATTATTCTCTATATCAAGAAGAAACATTTAAAAAAATTCAGGATTCAAAATGAAAGGGATTTATGTAAAAATAAAATTGAAGAATAAATCGAGAAAATATTTCCAACAGGGACAGGTAAACAAAAAAATGAAAAAGATTATGAAACTAAAATTAAAAACAGATTCACATTCGCCTCTAAAATGCGCCCCATCGCCAATTTTTTTCAAGTGACTTCTTTAGCGGCGGCGGAAAAAAATTCTTTATTTTTCACAGAATTTTTCAAATTTTTAGCTCATTTTTTTCTCGATTTTTAATCCATTTGACATATTGCTCAAGCTGTCAAAACAGAAAAGATTCCCAAAAAAAGATTCCGGAATATTTAAAAAAACAACGAAACTTGTAAAAAAAGACAGAATTTTTGGCAATAAAATTTTTTTCCAATTTTCAGCCAAAAAAATGTTAATTTTTTTAATGAAAATTGGAGATTTTCATAATTTCAAGCACGTGTTTTCTATTAATTCATGTTCAAGGAATTATTTAAAACGCTCAGAAAGCTTTTAAAAAAATCGAAAAAAAGTTCAATAAAACTTGTAGAAAAGAGAGAAATTTGAAAAAGTATTTTTCTTCCAACTTTGACCCAAAAAAATGAAGATTTTTCAAAGGGTGAAAACGGTTTCCTCTCGTCACTTTTTTTCACGTGAAGCTGCTAAAAATGGTCAGGTAGCTTGGAGAATCGCTGAAGTTCTACATAAAAAAATGGAAAAAGGTACCGTTCTCGTTCTCCAAAATCTTCACGACGCCGTTCTCATAGTGACCGACGCAGGAAAATGTCGTTCCCAAGTCGATTCCGATGCTCATTTTTCTCTGACTTCCTTCTTAGGATGTTGAAAATCGAGCCAGCTTTTACCCTGAAACATCAGAAAATTGAAAAAAATTGAAAAAAATTTTTGGCACAAAAAAATTTCATTTTTTTCGTTTCTTACTATAATAAATAGTTAATAGGCTTCTGAATATTTAGAACTAAATTTATTAAGCTCCGCCCATTTTAAGACTTACTGTAGAAGAATTACAGTACCAGTAAAAAAAGACTTTTCTTTAAAAAAATTATATTTTTTTACTGGGTAAAGCTGGACTAAGCCCAGAGTAAAAAAACGCCCCCTGCGAAAAAAAGCCCCCATTCTGCGAATGGTCCTTGAGGGCCCACTATAGGGATTTTTCCAAAAATGGCTATTCGGAAAAAGAGAATTTTCGTTTCTTCAGCATTTCAAACTTAACTTGTCAAATCGTGATTTAAAAAAAAATCCATTAAGGGGGCCTTATTTCACTCCCTATAGGGCCCACTGAATCTCAAAATCCCTTAAGGACCCACTTCAGCTTATCCCAGTGTGAAAAATTATCAAAACCAGAAAATCGTTGCAAAAAAAGGGGGGACCCCGGACGTGTGGGGGCATTTCTAGTGACCACTTCAGTAGCTTCAAAAACTCTTAAGTGATCTCTAGAAGTGAAAACCATGAATCGATAAAACGGAACAAAAAGAAAGGGGAAACGGAGGAAAAGGCGAAGAAAAGTGTGAACTGGGCAGATCGTATCAATCCATCATTTTCGATGTTTATTTTCGGCCCCAACCACTCAGACAAATCAATTATTTCCCGTGTTTTCTCGCGCAAAAAGCTGCAAAAAGTGTGTTTCGAAAGAGCTTTGATGTCATGGAAAAATGGTCAGAGGATTGATGAGTCAGAAACAGAAACCTTGGGAGATTTTTATCAAGAATCACGGTTTTTCTAGAAAATGTGAAACTTGAAAAAAAAAAATCAAACTTGATCTAAAAAAAAAGGTGCATCATACTCATTTTCCTGTTTCTAGAAATATTCAAATTGAATTAAAATGTGAAAGAAAAAGTTTTTAAGAAAGTTAAATAAAAAAATAAATAATAAGCGAAAATGAAAAAAATTAATAAAAAAAATAAAAAAAATAAGCGAAAATGAAAAAAATTACGAAATTTTTGAAAAAGTCAACTTTAATCAATGGAAACTTAAAGTTAAAGGGCAATTTCAATAAAAAAATAAAAATTGAAAATTTTTAAAAAAAAAAAATTGAAAGAAAAAAATATTTAGAAAATTGTGGGGAATTCTCCGAAACGGCTTTGAAAAAAACTTTGTCACAATTCTAGAAAAAAATTTAAAGAAAAAAACCGAATTTCCTGGGAAATGTTCCGAAATGGTTTGAAAAAAACTTATTTTTTTGAAGCATACAAAAAAATCGATATCTGCGAAAAAAATGTTCGAGAATGGACTGATAGACATTACGTCTTTGAAGAAAAAAATTCATAAAGACTTGAAAAAAACTTATCACAGTGATTTGAAAAAGTTCAGGAAAAATGCTTCAAAATGACTTGAAAAGCTTTTATTTTATTTTTTTAAAAAAAGATGAAAAAAATCTGAGAATCGGAGGAAATGGTTTGAAAAAGCTTAAAATAATTCATAGAAAAGCCAAAAAAAAGGAAAATTCGGTAAATTTTTAAAAATGGCTTGAAAAACCTGACCGTGAGAAATGGCATGGAAAACTTCATAGAATTAAAAAAAAATCCAAAAAAACTGCGAAATTTTCGAGAAAGCTGGAAAAACTTGATATCCTTTTTTGGAAAATGGATAAAATGTTCCAGAAAGGGTTGAAATAGCGAAAATATGAAATAACGAAAAACCTGATACTTAGACCTCTATAGTGGCTACTAAAACGTCAAGACCCTATAGTGGCCACTAAAAAAAACCAAAAATTCGGGAAAATGTTCCAGAATGGCTTGAAACAATGAAAATATGAAACATGAAAAAAATTATGGAATAATAAAAAAATCTCATATCCGGAAAAAAACAAAAATAATAGAAATATCCAGAAAATGTTCCAGAAAGGTTTGAAAAGGAAAATGAAAAACAAAAAAAAATATGAAATAATGAAAAATCTCATATCTAAATAATAAAATGATAGAAAATTTCAGAGAATTCTCCAGGAAGGCTCAAAAAGCCAGCCCAAAGATCGATTCTGATTCGAGATCCATCGACGACGCGAGAAAAGGTGAGTCAGCCGACGGAAAAGAGAATGAAGACCCGTCAAAGTGTTGTTTTAGTTCTTTCTTCGGCCACCGCAAAAAGTCCATTTCCCTTTTTATGAACTTGAGAAAGATGCGAGATGAAAAGATGAAGAATTCCGATCGAAATGATCAATTTGGTCAACGAAGCATGATATATACAGGGCTCAGGTATTCCCAAGCAGTTTTTTGGGTGTAAATTCTCTGAAAATGGCGCGAATGTCTTTAAACTTCGCACAGATTTTGAATAGCTATATGAAAAACCTATTTTTTTAGAAGAAAAAAACTTTTTTTGCTCAACACAAAATTTTTTTGAATAAAAAAATCGAAAAATTTTTTTAAAATTAAAAATTTTTTTGAAAAAAATCATATATTCCAAGAAACTTTGAGCCAGAAAATTTTCCAGAAAACTTCTCTGCACCCTCTCATTTTTACGCACTATTTTTCTTTACCTTATGACCTCGAAGACGAGAGAAAAGAGAGCGCAGACATGTTAGACTGTTAGAAGTTTTGGTGAATGAAATTCTCAAATTTTTCTCGGATAACCCCTTTGTAGACCCTCTCTTTTTTACGTGCTATTTCCATGCGTTACGACCCCGTAGGTTAGAGAAAAGAGAGCGCAGACAGGTCAGATTGTTTGAAGTCGTGGTGAGTGGACTATTTTTCATTTTTCGGCCGTTTTTGATTCAAAGTCAGTTCAAGTCTTGGTGAATGGAATATACTCCATTTTTTGGCCTTTTTCCAAAAAATCTTCGAATATACTCACAATTTCCGTCCAGTACACTTTTTCCGATAAAACTCAACTTTTTAATCGGTTTACGATAAGAAACTGCAGACTCGACGAAAAATGTTTATCACGCTTTTCTTTGATCTTAGTGCTCTCAAAGTCGAGTTTGATTATCTTTGTTTCAGACATCTTATCAGCTTTTCCGCTTTTTTCTGGTTCCAGTGGCCGATTCTGTCTCGAAATGTTGCGAAAAAGGAAAAGAACGAAAATTCATAGGAAAAGCTGAGAAAAGGGTGATTTTCTTGTGATTTTCTTATGATTTTTCAGATCAAATTATGAAGTTTTCAATTTTTTTCAAAGTCCATAGGACCTTTTTTTATTTATTAAAATCTCTAAATTTCGATTTTTTTGAGGTCAAATCCAATACGTTTGTTCCATAAACTTTGATATTTTTCCTTAAATTTTTTTAAAAAAATTTTTTTCCCGAAAAAATTTTTTTCCTCCATTTCTATGAAGTTTTATCCCCATTGTCAACTTTTTTTAACTTTTTTTCTTGACTTTTTTTATTTATTTTTTTCGATCCTTCAAGTTATTTCGTGACACTTTCCTTCCATCAAATCGAAAGTTGCGAATGAAAAACTGTGATAAGAAACTGTCTAGTTTTTGATTGACGGGCCTTTTCTGGGCCTTTAAAAAGAAGGTTTCGGGTTCAAAAAAACATTATTTTTTTGCAGAATTTTTGAAAAAAATCATTTTTCCCAAAAATTCCAAAATTTCAAATATTCCAAAAAAATTCCAAAATTCAAAAATTTCCAAAATCTTTCCCTTCAATGAGAAAGAGCCTAAAGAAATGAGCCTAAAAAATTGATTTTCAGACATTTTTTTCAATATTTATTGAGAGGTGCTTAAAAAGTGCTGATTTTTTTCGTTAAAATATTAATTTTGCCCTTCAAGTACCACCTCTACGCGGTGATGGGGAGGCAACGCCATTTATGGCGGCTAACGGTACACCGGTCACGCAGTTCGGCTTGCTTCTGCTAACAGAATGGGCGGTCTTTTTTAGCCCTGGCAAGGCAAAAAGGATAATCAGACCAAAATTATGCTATAACACGTTCAACACCACGGATGGAACTTTTTCGCAAGAATACCAGTCAACCAGGACGACAACACTGGATGACCGATTGCATAAGACCTCCTGGAAAACGTGTGGTCCACGCTTCGATCAATAAAAGGCAATAAAAGATCGAAAGCGAAGATGGACCATCTAAGTATCTAAGTAAGTAAGTAAGTAAGTATTAATTTTGAACTTTATTTTCATAATAGTGAATAGTGAACAGGTTTATGCTGTTCTATTTTTTTTTCCTTTCCAATTTTGGACTCAAAATATAATTCCAAGCCTACTCATAAATCGCAAAAATATCGAGTTTTCACTTTTTTTTTCTCAGCACATTGATCCGTTTAAAAGCAATACTCTTCTCAATTTTTCAATTTTTTCCTAATTTGCTCTTTTTTTTCCTGTTTCAAAATGAAGTTCCAAGCTTCATCTCATTCAAAAATCGGAAAAATACCGACTTTTTCGCTTTTTCCGGTATATCACTCTTCTGTAGAGCTATTCTCCTTGTGAATTCGTTTTCATTCTTTTTTATGGATAGTTTTTTTCCTTTTTAGGTATGTCTCGACACACAAATTCAAAGAAAAATGAAAAAAAAACCGACTTTTTTGCATAATTTTCCAGTACATTACTTTGCTGAAACACTCCCTCTTTAAATATTCGATTTTTTCATAACTTGATATTAGTTTTCTAGTAATTAATCCTTCGAAGCATTCTTCTGAAAAAAACGTTGGGTTTTCATATTTTATATTTATTTCTTATTTCTCTGTTTAAAAAAATCTTCACGTTTCAAAAATGCGCGGAATTCATGATTATGGTTGATTTGAAGTTCTCAAAAAAATCAAGTATTAGTGACTAAAAATGAGATTCTGAGTTTTTTTGCGAGTATATTTTTTAGAAAAAAACGTTTGTTTGACCTGAAAAACAAGGCATGTTGTGCGCAAATTAAAGTTTTTAGAACATTTTTTTCGAGGAAAATAGAAAATTTTTTTAGAAAAATAGCTAATTTTGGAAATTTAATGACCAGATTTTTAAAAAAATGACTTCAAAACTGGTCATATTATGAAGATATATGTACTTCAAACCCGTAAATCTTCAAAAACACCTCAAAAAATAAAAAAATAGCCCTCACAAAAAAATCGACCGATTTTCCCAATTTGTTCTTCTCCGACAAGGAGGTCATTCTACCACTTTACGATTGTGAATTATTTAAAAATCGGTCGGCCAGAACACTTTTTGATGTACCAGATAAGATTCTTGAAAGTTTCAGCCTTCAAAATTTCTTAGTTATTGAGAAAGGACGCCTCAAAGTCAAAGAAAACACTAAAAATCCGTTGAAATAGGCCATTTTTGGGCTTTGAGTCTTCGTTTCTCGAAAACTAGGAAGTTTTGAATGTTGAGACTTTCAGAATCTTCTTTTAGTACACCAAGGAGTGTTCTGACCAATTTTCAGCCAAATCCCAACCGCAAAGTAAAATGCCCTCCCTAGTGGGCATTAAATTTTGAGCTTCACCTCACCTCATTCATAAAAAAAAGGCGAGACTTCCACCATAACCCCGGCTTCTTATCTTGTCTGTAATATTACACTCTTTATCAGACAAAAAGATGTCTCGTTATCATCAAAAAACTTTTTTTTTTTTCGAAAAATGGCAACATTTTGAGCGGTTTAGTTATCGTAATGGTATCAAAGCTTTTTCAAATGAAAGATTTTTGCAGGAAAAAAGATGCTAACTTGGAATTTGATCTATACGATCGTGGGCTTTTCCCTGCTGGGCAACTTTTCCGTGTTTCAAATCACGATTTTCGCCCTGGTTCCGGTGCCTTTGACCCAAATGTTCAACCAGAGCTTCAGCCAACGTTATGGCGTCGAGTTGAGCGAGTTGGGGTGAGCTTTCTTTTATTTCAAAATTGAAATTTGAATGATAATCATTACCAGAAAAGTTTCAAAAAAAATCAGGTGCGGGAGAAAAGCGATCGTCCGCGACATCGCATTTCTCTCGCTGTCTCACGCACTCGAAAAAAAAACCATATAAAAATGCGATATCGCGCCAAGGAAAACGCAAGACTTTCGCGATAACGCTAGCGACATCGCGTTCGATGTAGTCGGCGACAAATGAATCACTTCGTCGACATCGCGTTTCTCTCGTTTTCTTACGCCCTTGGAAAATGCTTGATAAAACGCGACATCGCATCAAGGAAAACGCCAGACAGGCGCGGCCAATTTTGCGATACCGCCAGCAACATCGCGCCGGATGTTCTCGGCGACAAATTAATCACTTTGTTGACGCGACATCGCCTTTTTCTCACTTTCTCTCGCCCTCGAAAAAAAACCCCTAAAAATGCGACATCGCGTCAAGGAAATCGCAAGACTGGCGCAGTCAAGAAGCAGAACTTTTGCGATACCGCTAGCGACATCGCGTTCGATTTAGTCGGCGACAAATGAATCAATTTGTCGACTCGACATCGCATTTCTCTCACTTTCTCACGCCCTTGAAAAAAGCTCGATAAAACGCGACATCGCGTCAAGGAAAATGCAAGACTGGCGCAGTCAGGCAGGACTTTTGCGATACCGCTCGCGACATCGCGTTCAGTTATTCAGCAATGAAACAGAAATTTAGAATCCCATTAAAATTGTAAAATTTTTGAAACATTAATATCAGGTTCAAAAAAGAATTTTCCCAGGGTTTCCACCATCTTCTCTGCAATCACCCTGACGTCATGTATCGCCCAAGTTTTGGGCATTTTTTTCCTTTTGCCGTTTTTCGACAAACGGGGCCGGAAATTCGCTGTGGTGTACTTAAGGTTAGGCATATTTGGTGAAGAAAAAAAAAGAAAATTTCAGATTTTTCATGGGGATGGCCGCGGGACTGTGCCAGGCGGCTTCTGGATATTTCGTATCCGCCGAACTTTTCCTTCTGTCGATTTTTATCGCTTCTTTGGCTTTGACTTTGAAAACGGCCGCTACGGTTTTGTTCATTTCGGAATGTGCACCGAACTCGAAAAGGGGTTAGTAAAATTTGAAGTATTTTTTTTTTCGAATAGTTGAATTTTCTCCTCAATACCTTCATTAATTTTGTTCACGCCCGTTTTAAAAAAATCAACAAGCTTGATATAAAAAGTCTGTTGTCGCATTTGGAATGGCTAACTGCTCCTTCTAGTTATTTCATATGCTTTCTCGCGCATCCCGTTTCTGGTCGGACGAGAAAAAAACTAAAAAGCAACATTTTTTTATAACAAGCAATCTTACTTAAAATTTTTTTGAATAGTCATTCGCCAAGACTTGCCTGCGCTCTCCATTCTCTAACCAAAACTCTCATAATTTTTTTGGTGAGAAAGATCAAATATTCTTTGAACATCGTGAACTTTTTTTGTAAAAAAAACTATATGGTGCTTTTTTGAGCTTGTTTAATTTTGCATGGATGTTTTATAAACAGGAACTTTGAAACCTCATTAAAAAGATGAAACTGCTTTTTTAACCCAAAAAAAAAAATATTTTTCAGGATTTGCCACGACGATCGTCGCTATTGGCGACACTCTCATGTGGTGCACTGTGTTTGTTTTTTTTCTTTTATTTTCGAACTGTTTTCTTCAAATTTGCCATATTTAGTTTACCTTAAACTACTCAATGATTTTTTTTTTTCGCAGAACAATTTTCTCCTATATCTATTAAGCTATTGGGAAAATTTTCAGAGTCCACTATAGAGGCTCGTCAAGGACTACTTGGAGAGGACACTAAAGTGGCCACTATTTTCCGTTTTAGTGACCACTTCAGTAGTTTATCATCCAGTATTTCTTCCAGTATATGTTAAAAAACAAACAAATTGGACCAGTTATGTTGATCCATTGACTCCTAAAGTGGCCACTAAAATTTTTAGTGGTCTAGTAGTAGCGCTTTGATCTCTTTAGTGGCCACTAATTTTCAACCCCTTTAGTGGCCAGTAATTTGACTGCTATAGTGGTCACTAAGACGTCAAAACCCTATAATGGCCACTAAAAATTTTCCCGCTTCCCAGTCATTTTTTTTCCGATAGTTTTCTCCTGAAACTATTTCTTGATTTTCCAGCCAAACGCTCAGCTACCCGGCCATTTTCGGGAACATCGAACGTTGGTACTACATCCCGATATTCTCAATCTTCCTCTGTCTCCTATTTCTCACATTCCTGTCCAGAATCCCGGAATCGCCGAAAAAATTGGCCCTGAGTGGGAAATACGACGAAGCTA